ATTTAAAAAAAAAAATCGGAATTTGCAGAATTATTAAACAATCAAGTCTTCTTTTAACGTCCATTTATCTGATATTTCAATAATTTATTCCCACGGTCAAATATTACACTTAGGGAACGGATGACATCTCTTTATGCCGACTAATTTGTGAACGATCCGTAATCCACTAAACTGATGCATCCGTATATACATATTATGTACCAACAATACATTTATTAGATGAAATATTTATTAAATGAAATAATCATCGTAAATTGGATTGTTTTATTTTATATCGCTTGTCCACCAATATTAATAATTTAAATAACTATAATGACTTCATTAGAGGAAATAATACAGATATGCTACAACCAGAATAAAACTTTTAATCTTTACATATAAATAAAATTAAAGTGAATTCAAATTACAATTTATACTATTAAACAATACAAACGTATATGTTTTTATGTATGTTTACCAATCACGGTTCTTGATTCTCGGAATCGGCTGAACCGATTTAAATTATTTTTCTACCGACTTCAAACAAGAGGAGGTACTCAATTCGACTGTATGTTTTTTATGTGTGTGTTACCTCCTAACTTTTTCTAGGTGAACCGATTTCGATGAATCTTTTTTTTATTTGAAAGCTGGTGATTTACATGTGGTTCCATATACAATTGATCAAGGTCTGACCAATAGTTTTTGAGTCATTCTTAATCATTTATATTGAACTCGATTGTAAAAAATTTTTAGTTTTAAATTGTTAATGAATAGGTTACAACTTCAGGGGTATTCCCATTCAAATTTTATTTTTTATCCTTTGGGGTGGAATAATAACATATAAAGATTTTTATGTACCCATCTGAACTTGCTATATTTCTTAGACCCACTTCAAAAATTAAAAAAAATATATTACTTTTAATTCTTCGATACACTATGTCTTGGCAACGACTTCACAAGCTACTGTGTAAAAAAATATTTTTTTTTAATTAATTTTTGAAGTCGGTTCTACTTTTTAATAAAAGTGTAACTATTAATACAAGACAATTTACCCTTTATATGGAACTTTACTTTTTACTTTACATCGGAAGACAAGTCCGATATAAAGGTGATAGATGTTGCTGGACGTATAACTCTATAATTTATTTATAAATAATATACACCACCTCCCACTGTCCAATAGTACAAGTTTCTCCTAATCTTAAGGTTGTCTGGAAGAAATCTCTTTTTTTTTAAGAAAGTTTTAGTCCTAAGTTTTACTTACTGTAAACTATTTTTTTTTTGTTTTTGTGGTGTACAATAAATTATATAATTATAATAATAATAACTCTCATTCGAAAGATAAGCTATACTTATTTCAAATAGTCTTAGAGAAAATTCCTATGAGAGACCGACATAGACACGGAGACCGAGGTTGCTCCACCAGTGATATTGATAATTTTGTTACGAGACAGCGATGACGGTTTTGAATTGAAGCCCACGCGAGCTAAGCCACATTTAAAGAGCTGGTTATTAATATTTTGCACCTAAGGCAATGGCACTGACATTAAAATTTACTGATACAACAAATTGTAGAGTATATAAAACAATAAAGATTGGTGCCCCGGGCTATTTGCGCCCAAATAAAATCATAAAGACAATCCGACTCCCCCTTTGATTAAGTCAAATTGGGTAATTGCATTTCGAGCAGCGCACCGCTCGCGCCGGAATCATCGATCACGTGATCGGACAGAGAAATTGTGAGCACCGCTTTATATCAACAGATCTGTGAATAAACTCCTAACCTAGCTAACTATTAATATTATCACTATGCTATATCAATACAAATACCTATAGGAATAAGTTTACTTAGTCCTTTAGTTGATTTCGACAATTCAATAAACGCTAGAAAATAAACTAAGGGATGAGATTTTTTTTTTAATTTTGCATTTATATAAGTGTGTTATACTTACTTACTTATCTTCACGCACAATCCCTGACGGGGTAGCCAGAGAGAACAGATCGCCAAGTGTCACGATCCTTACATATCTCTTTCGCTTCTTTCAGATTCATTATCTTCTTCATACATGCACGTCTAGGTATCCGAGTACTCTTGACCCTACCCTCTTCGAGCAATTTGCTCACATGGTCTTCGAAAGTTAGTCTCGGTCTACCTCGACACCTTTTAATATTAACTTTCGCGCTATATATTTTCTTCACCATTCGGTCTTCACTCATTCGCTCAACGTGCCCAAACCACCGAAGCACGCCCTTATCAATTTTTGTGATAAGGTCATCTTTCAAACCTGCCATATTGCGAATCTCTTCGTTTCGCTTTCGGTCGGCCATAGTAACGCCGCACATTTTACGAAGAGATCGCATCTCCACTGCATTCAACTTACTTTTATGCTTCTTCTGGCATACCCAGGTTTCGCTGCCATATAACAAAGTCGGTACCAACACAAGTGTGTTATAGAGGTGTGAAAGATACGATATGAGGTTTATTTCCGTATGCCTTTCTTATACATAGTAAAATAAACCGAACATTTTATTCCTCTGCTATAGTACCCATTTAACTAAGATGTAACTGAGAAAATTCAGTAATTTTTTAATAACAGGGAATTTAAATCGTATTATTATAATTATGTCTTACATATCAAACGTAGCTGGACGAAACACTATAAAAGCCCACATTCATCTCCTTGTTTCAAAAAAGGATACTGTAAAACATATTAAAAACCTCGATATTTACAAGGGAAAGGGGCCATTCCATTCCTACCGTATTAAATTATGATGCATATACTTAGTTACCGTTAAAGTCCATATAGGACAATTCCCAATGATCTTGGAAATAGCTCGGATCATACCTACAAAAAGGGTAATGTACCATCAGTAACTAATTAAACTATCTCCATACTTTGTTAATTTTCTAATTTATTTGGTGCGTTTCACTCATCATATTGAATCAACTTTAAACTATTTTAGCACATTTTTACAAGCCGTTCTACAGAAACAAATACCTTATTTTTATGTATTGCACACATATCACTTTTGAGCGTCTTCGATAAGATAAACCATTTTCTGTTAGTGGACAAACTTGAAGCTACAAGAATTAATGGGTAAATTAATATATAGAAAAAAAATCGGGGCTATGAATGTCAAACTCAATACGCAGTCTCTGAGGTTCCTCAGGGTGCCCATTTGGGACCAATATTGTTCAGACCAATAATGATACCACGAGTACGTTTAAAGCAAGCAAAATTATGCTATTTGTAGACATATCATCTAATTTCGATTTATTGACCACCATGTGATATTAATTCCTAGAAAATGATTCTATAACACATTTTCTTAGGAAAAATGAGCCTTGCACTATCATTATATTGTCTTAAAGGGACAATGCTCACAAAAGTAGGTATAATAAGAGATTATATGTTAGTTGAACATGAAGCTTATATACGACCACATTCCTCATATCAATATGATTGACAGGAACACTGAGCAGATGCTGGGCATAATACCCAATACTTATGTTAGCATTAAAATGTTAGTCCAATTAATATAAATATAATTAAAATAAAGTATGATAATATAATCCTTATCAATTTAATTGAATGTAGGAATGTTCCAATAAAATACAAATATATTTACAATTGATTAATCATTATTGTTTACGAGTACAGATAACGCTACCCCCTTTCGACCCGGAACTTTAAATCTAATATTTACAGTGTTGTTCTAATACATATTGAAGTATGACACTATTCCTTGACCTAGGAATTGTTTGTTGTTGTGTATGATCGTTACTTGGTTAGATTAATTAATTGTTGACATATTTGTTTTAGTCTAAATGATTGTGCTAATGAACGAATTTCTAATTATTTTAGTAATTTATAATATAAGCTCTATATCTAGACACATGGCAGTGTCCTAGGTAAGTTCGGAAAATAACCAACACATAACTTGTACAATCTTGGGTTAGTTGCCTTCGCGCTGATGGTGCTCCTACCCATTCCATCTGTGGGATTATTGGTTAAAGTTCAAAAGGTTATCTTAAGTACCGCCACTTGGCGCTATTCGATCGCCAAAGACTAGTATGTTGAAAAGCAGGGCTACGAGCTGATGGGATTGGCGGCTGGAGATGTATTTATATATATTAGACCCGTATTTATATATATTTTTTTATAAGATAGGGTGACAAACGAGTACACAATCCACCTGATGGTAAGTGGTTGCTGTGACCCATAGACATCCACATCTATCCTCAATAAAGAATCAAAATGCAGATGCGTTGTCACCCGTGAGGAATAAAATGGAATGTCTCTTTTCCAGTAGAAAGGGTCTCCGGTTTTCTACACACACCATACAAAACGCAGCAGTGTTAAGCTGCTATTTCACGCTGGTATTCTGTGAGAGCGTGGTCCTTCCCCGGACCATATTAAAGAAAAGTAAAAATATAGTATACTTTATCTTATACATATACATACACAGTATAAATCAAGAATGTCTGTTTTATTTTAACTTAAGATATATTATATTATTGCTATTTAAATTATAACCGAATGAGCATTTTAGGGCTTTGATTAAATAATTTAGTGAGCTATGAAGCTTGACTGTCTCGATGGTCTATTGGTTACAAGTGAGGATCATCATGTGTGGTGTTAATATCAGTCGGCCAAAAATCAGTTGTAGAATTTTTCTGTCAGAAATTCTCAGTAGCAACCCAGAGTTTCAGGAATTTGACGGTATATCAACGCCATACCTCGAAAAACACGCTTATCCGTTGATCTTGGCTCTGATTACCGTCCTTAAAAACTCCTGAAAGTGACGGAATGGAGTGTACCTGTGCTTGCGCACATACTCGTACACTATATACTCATGTTCTACGTAGATGGCTAATTTTTGTTGTGACTGTCCTTGACCAACTTTTGGTCTGGAGGGCATCATTTAGCTTTGATATTTAAAAAATAGCAGTCCGAATCAATCCCGACACATTTTCTATGAAAGATTAAATAATAATATACCTTCTTTATTTGTTTCAGATAAATGTTCGCTAGCATGTCAAGGATGTAAGTAAAAATTTATTACATTTATGACGATTTTTTTTTAAATAAAGTTCAATGATGATTGACTAATCAGCGGGGTTAGCCAGTTGAGTTGACATTTTAAAATCTTATACACGACAATGAGCCTCGAATATATAAGACTGCCCCATTGGTCTAATGATCGTAAATCAGTTCTTGGTTTGTCTATCAAGAAATCCTCAGTAGCAGCCTGGAGTCGGAAAGTTGGTGGTGTTTTCACCCCCGTGCATCTATAAGCACGTAAAGCCTGATGACGATGATCGTTAATTATTATGGATATTTTTCGGTTATTATGATCCAGTGCTGGACTACATTTCTACCTGGTGGTAAGTGTTGATGCACCCCTAGATGGGTAAGTCACACTGTCTTAGGGTAGTAAACGCCTATCCAATCTTGCCTTGAAAACACACAGATTGTATCGGACGGAAAAACAGACGCCGGCAAACTATTCCACTCCTTTGCTGTCAGCCGACCGTCTGATGGTCCAAAGGTGGGAAGTGGAGGGAGGAATGAAATCATGTAATTCGTGGGCATACTCTTTGGAATGTATCTTATAGTAGAATAACGAGAGGCTGGCTATTCTGTGCCAGTGCTCGATGCCGAAAAGATTAGTTTGGTCCAAACCAACGTTCTTAATATTTTTTTTTCTATTACTTATAAAACTGTACACGTATAAGTCTCTTAGCACGCTTCTCCACTGTGACACGCCAATACTGCTAGGTGGCACTTTACAGCACTAGCCCATATTTGACTGCAGTACTGGAAACCGACCGGACCGGACCGGACCGGACCGGGCGCTTTTATGGTTATTTTGCAATATACACCCAAATATGCAGAGAAGGCCCTATAAGTAATATAGGCGAATGGTGAAGAAAAATTAATACAACAAAATCTCAAACATTCAGTCCTATTTATCTTTTAAATTCAGAATGCGTAGTAATCTACTATTTTACTATGCACGCACACATTCGAAAGGGTCGCTCGGTCGGCAAAAACGTTGTGAATTGAATCACAGACAGAAGATCGCGCGTTGCCTATAAATCACATTCAATTTGGGATAATTTAAATTGAAATTACAAGACTTATTTATTCGAATATTTTATTTGAAAGTGTGAATGGACTGTTACTGATATAAACTTTTACAAAATTTTTTTTTTCAACAGCACCTTCATCGCCGACCTTCTTAAATGGACACACGTACAATTACGGCGTTGACGGAATTGTAGCAATATATGTGACTGGAGTTGAGAAGCAAGAAACTAACGTGAAGCTCTTCGGTCAGGTCTCCGTGACAGCTTTAGGAAATTGTGCCTTAGCGCTGAAGGTCAACGTTTTGACCATAGCCGGACCGGATGGAAAGGTAATTATAATACAAAATGTGTATAAAAAGGAACGGAAGCATTTTATACATTCATTGTTATCATCACGGCCTACTAAAGTCCACTGCTGAACATAGGCCTCCTCATAGATTGCCTAGTAGTCATTTTGCCACGCTTGTAAAGCGGGTCGCTAATTTATTTACTTTAAACTTTTACCAGCAAGATGCTCGGCATCTCCCGTTTCAGTTTCCTTCCGTCTGCGCTTACGACATCCACGCAATATATAGGGTAGTGGATTTTCGTACACCACGACTATACCGAAAATATATTCAACAACGTATAGAAATTTCATTAGTTAGTAATGGATATTAGTTTCTTTTATTTGCATAAAATATGATAAGTCCTCGTCTGGACTAATTTGTATTATTCCTAATTTGTGACACTACGTTGGACTTCCAACAACCAATCTTATTGTGTGAACTAGTAAGTGAAAGTAAAAGCCAAATTGCGCGAACATTTGTTTGAACTTCCTAGGTTAGGGATCACTTAAAAAAGGATAACCTATGAAGGTACACACACTTCACCACGTCTATAATAGTATAATTTAATAAACTTTTGACTGCGGCAGCAACGCTCACCTCTGCAGCTTTGAATTATTAGTCGCCTTCAGCGACCAGCCTCAGCCTTTACCCCTCGCATAGAGAAGCTATAAGATTGTTCTGGTAGTTTCCATAGTCGCCTCCGTGAGTGATATGCGGGATTCTCTTATGCCACCACTATACAGCTTGTGTGAAAAGTAGGTGTAAATTTTACAATTCCATTTTTTGTCCATTTAGAAACACCCTACCCCGGCCGGCATCGACAAAGTGGTGCGCTTCAGTCTTCAAGATGGCCGCGTTGGACCTGAAATCTGCGCAGAGGAAGGTGACACGAGACGCTCGCTTAACATCAAGAGAGCGATCATTTCCTTGCTCCAAACCGAACAGAAGCCTTCTACTCAGGTAGAAATATTTTATAGAAACAAAATAAATAATCATAATTACCATAAAATCTTTTTAATAATCGTATATCTAAAGTTTCATCGCATTAATTGCGAGGATTGGTTTTGAAACTCAAAACCTCTCAATTCACACAACTATCATTATACGATATTCTTTTTTATTTTAGTCAGTAACACTATAATAGTACCTAACTATTTTTTAGAATATAGATGACAAACCTGATGCTGAGGACCATAGTCACCTACACTATTCTCGATTATGAATCAAAATGCAGAATGCGTTGCCGGCCTTGAGGACACAAATGGAGTGTTTCGTTTGCAGTAAAAGGAGCCACCGGTTCTATATCTACATTCACAATTAAATATTTTGATTCGCAAACGAGGATAGATGTAGATGTCTATGGGCCACAGCAACCACTTACCATCAGGTGGACTGTGTGCTCGTTTGTCACCCTATCCTATAAAAAAAAAGATTCAAGCTGCTATTTCTTGGTATTCTAAGACGTTGGTATTCTGAGAAAGTGTGGTCGAGCTGCTCCATTGATGTTACAACAATAATATAGCCGCATGGTAGCTCGACCACCAACTTAACTATATGATATGTAACAATGTTGATCAGACCGGTTTTCGATCACGGTGACCCGTCTCAACGGAAACTAGCCATCTGTGCGGGACAGAATTATAGTGCCCGAGTTTATGCGCATTCAATAGTCCACTCTTATTCCATCACTCTCATAGTCCGATGGGACCGCAGCCGACACGACCGGAGAGAGACCGGTGCAGGGTCTACGGCTTCAAGTGCTTTCCAAAGCATGGGGGGTGAAACACCAGGTGAGGATTTCTTGGCAGAAAAACCCAATAACCGATTTTGGCCCGATTTGAACCCGGGACTTCGTGATCAATAACCACATTTACGACCAGTCGACCAACGAGGAACTTGCTGGTCTAAAGTTCGTCGTCTTTTTTATTTTTGTCATTAATTTATTATGTATAACAAAAATAATAAATAAAATTATAATTTAAAGTTATAACTTGAAAAAAGTTTTACTACATTTATAGTTTTTTTTATAATAAACATGTTATAAAATATCTTTATTCACAGACGGACGTATTTGGCACCTGCTTCACCGAGGTCTCTTCGTCTCAAGAAGGTAGTGCTACCCTGGTCCACCGTAGCCGTGATCTCTCTCGCTGTGCTCACCGAGAACAGGGCAGAAATGACTTCTTGACTGCCGTATACAACCCTACAGCTGTAAGTTTATTACATTTTAAAGGGCTTAATAGTTTTTATTTTAAACTACCTGGTACCCGGCGCATTGCTGCAACAGAAAAAAATAATTGTCGAAATATCGTTTTAAATTTGGAAGTGTTATATTATTTAATTAAGAATGATAATGACATTGAGGTTGAGTAATGTGTAACTTTCAAATAAAGAAGACAATCGTTTTTGGGCCCACTAGAAACTTTAACGTACCTAACTTAATTTTATTACACATAAAAAATATACCAATTTATTAAGCCTAAAGATTTTATGAAAATCTAACCGAAATCATGAAATCTAAAAAAAAGTTTTTTGACATTCGCGAATTCGCTAATGTAATATAAAAAAATGCGTATAAAGAAGAACGAACTACTAAAAAAATTCCATCAAGCTTAAAGTACCAATAAATGCTGAACGTACCTACAACTTTTTTTATACTATAAATTATTGACCAGTGCAACCAGTGCGCTATTTTTACTTATAATACCGGAGAAAACTACTAGACAATCGCTCTTAGTTTGATTTTAGGTTTAGGTATTCCCGTTAGATGCGATTAAACTAATATTATTATTGTAATCTATTGGTTATAAGGAATAAGTCGACATATGTTTCATTAAGTTACGCCTGGTTACTGTGGTGGGCCCATTCTCAATACAAAAAGAAATTGGCTCCTGTATCGGTACGATACGCGCGCCATCTATTGCAAGTTAGTTGTAATATGCCTATAACCTTCTCACAAGTGTAAGCAATAAGTTGACAAAGTATTAGCGCAACCTTATGACCGGTAAGGCAGCGCATAAAATACGAACAAACAAAAATTAATTTTTATATATTAGATTATTCTAGATCTAAAGACAATCATAGTTTCAAATCCGATAATATATATTCCATTATGTTTACCTGACTGCACGACAGCAAAGATTATGTTTTTCGCGCGTGTCTGAAACATGTATGTGAGATTTTTTATACCATCTAATCATACCAACAGCTAGATGGATTTTAATCAATTATATGTTTATCGCTTCGATCTAACCGTGAAATCATAGGCTAGGTTTGTTGTTATTATCTCTTTACCGACTTCGAAAAAGGAGGAGATACTCATTTCGACTGTTTTTTATTTTATTTTTAGGAGTGTTGCCTCAGAACTTTTTATTAATGAACCGATTTTGATTGATTTTTTTTTATTTGGAAGCTGATGTTTCTCATGTGGTCTCCTTAATAATGCGTATTTAATTGACTTCGATTACATTGATGATGTTCTCATTTGATATTAAACTCGGTTGTACAAAATGTTTAATTTTACCTCTTGTAAGTTAAATACTTTATACGCAGTCGGATTTTTATTGTTAGTTTTAATTTACTTTATATTAAATTAAATAATTGTTTTGTCCAGGAAATCAAGGACACACAGGTGCTTCAATCGACTTTGAATGTGGAATCCAAGGTTAATAACGGTGTACCAGAGAAAGTATCTGCTACTGAACAATATCTCTATAAACCTTTCTCTGTTGGAGAGATTGGAGCTCGCGCTGTAGTCAACAACAGGCTTACTTTACTTGGCACCACACAAGGCGATGCCAACCAAGGTAAAAATAATATATGTAAATGAAATTGTTTTACTTAAAAAATAATTAACAAAAATCATACAAGTTTAATAATGTAGTAAAAAAGTAAGAAAATTAGTAAAAAGAAAATTCAACAAAAATGGTTTGTCAAACTCGAAAATTCCACATAAAAACCATAACATATATTTTAATATATCACCGAGTCAGTTCTTCATTCTTGGAGCAATGTATAAGCATAACATAGTTCCAGAAAATTTACAAGGTATCTCTATTACCAAGTTTAAATATTTAATTAAACAAATGCTGTATAAAAAGGATTATTATAATATAAATGAATATATGGTTGATAATAACCCCTGAGATGAGGCGGTCACTTCCAAGCTGTTTCTAAAATAAATTTAGTAAATACTTTGTAATCATTTATGTTGTAAAATTTATTTAAAAAAAAGTCCCACTGGGTTTCTTGCTGGTTTTTCCCAGGACAGAGGATTTTTTTTCGAACCAGTGGTAAAGTAAAAAAGACTTTCAATAAGAATTACTTGTAATCAATATTGAATAAAACATTATTCTAATATATTCTATCATAATGAAATGCCCTGCAGGTGACTGTCCCGAAAGTCGTACCATCATTTTCGAGAACCCACATGGAGCCGTTTCTGAAACGAGCAACTTAAAGAATGTACTTGCTGTTCTCAAGGACACCGCCAAATCTTTAAGCGTGGAAGCTTCCAGTAAATCTGCGGGCAAATTCGCTCAACTTATCAGGGTAAATGAGACTATTATATCATTCATGTTTGTTAGAAATAAGTTTTAAAATATAATTAAAATTTAATAAATAACTAATTTATTAAATTATAGTTATTATATTATACTTTTATATTATACTTTCATAATTTTAGTTATTATATTATACTTTTAAGGTTTTTAGTTTTAGATTCATTGTTCTAGTATATATTTTACATAGTACATTACATATAGTATAAGTACCTATCATTTGTATCACTACTAATTTAAATATTTAATATAATTTTAGGTCATGCGTAATACAAACAAGGATGATTTGATGAAACTTTACTCTCAAGTCAAAGGCAATAGTTTGGAAAAGTAAGTGTTATACTTTTTTTTTATTAAAATAAATTGTGAAATACATTTATGGTACCTGATAATAGTTACAATGTTTTGTATAATTTCATTAAAAGCAGTTATCTATACAAATAAATAAAATTGAAATGTCTGTTTGTAATGTCAAAATAACAGCTTTTTACTAAATGTAAATGAAAGTATATACGATACTTATAACAATAACAAAACTTTTAAAAATTTTGTCTGTCTGTCGGTCTGTCTGTCTGTTTGTTCCGGCTAATCTCTGAAATGACGTGACTTTCACCGACAGATACCTGATGTTATAAGGAGTAACTTAGGCTACTTTTATTTTAGAAAAAGAATAGGGCTCCGCGCCAAATAATTAAAACCCCAAATTACACGCTGGCGAAGTCGCGGGGATCAGCTAGTTAATATATACATATATATATATATATATATATATATATATATATATATATATATATATATATATATATTACTATTTATGTAACGTTCTGTGATGTCTATTTCTTGCAGACGCGTTTTCTTGGATGGTCTGCTCCGTGCCGGAACAGGTTACAGCATTGAAGCCTCTATACAGATCCTCAAGGGTAAACAATTATCTGAACTTGAAGAAAAACTTGTTTTCCTTTCACTTGGAAACGCGAGACATGTTAACGATGAGGCAGTTAAAGCAGCTGCTGTAAGTGTTTATATTTCAGTACAGTATATATTTAATAATTTCATTTAATTAAAGATTTAAATAAAAAACTTTGTATAATTTTTTTTAAATTTGTTATTATTTATATTAATTAATACTTTTTCTCCTACTAGACCATTTTGGATAGATCTAATCTTCCCAAAGAAGTATATTTGGGCGTCGGAGCACTGGCAGGTGCTTACTGCAGGGATCACAACTGTCATACAACCAAATCTGAAGGCATTGTAGCGCTGAGTAAAAAGCTGGCTTCCAAAATGCAAAACTGTAAGCCGAGGAACAAGGTGGAGGAGGATTATGTAAGTAGTATTTTATACGTGGTAGAGCCATGCTGCAGCTATATTAGTAGTATAGTTGTAGCACGAATGGGTCGGCTCGACCGGCGAAGGATTACGCTCTCACAAAATACCAGCGTGAAATAGCAGCTTAATGCTGCTGTGTTTCGTATAGTGAGTGTAGACCCGGAGACCCTTTTTACTGGAAAGAGGCATTCCATCTTAGTCCTCACATGTGACGACGCATCTACATTTTAATTCTTTATTGAGGATAAATGTAGCTGTCTATGGGTCACGCCAACCACTTACCATCAGGTGGACTGTGTGCTCGTTTGTCACCCTATCATATATACAAAAAGTAATTGTTATAACTGTTTTTAAATTCTAGATATAACAAGTATGATACTTGAATTAAATTCATCAGTTTTTTTTTTAATTTATTTACCATATTACAAAGCATTACAAAAAAACTATACTAAAAAATCGCATACAGAAAACCACTAAGGTTTGTGATGACGCGACCAGAGTCGACGTTACATTAAGTATAATTAATATAGTTTGTAAAAAGGAAACATTACAGCCTAATTAGGACCTGAGCAAATTAATAATTTTCAACCATATTTTTATTAAAATCCATTGTAAAATTATTTAAATTATACAATGTTCCCGTCCGACCAATACGATTTATTTGGCTTTTATTCTTAACTGTGTGTGTCGTTACAGCACTTTAAATTTGTATTTATTGACTAATTTATGTATTATATACCTTCCCTATTTGCCATTCGTTATAAACGACGGTTCTTTGTGCAAAGATGTTGTCTGGAATAAATCACTTTCATATTTTACTTCATTTTGTGTTTCGATTTAATAATATGTATTGGTGTACACTAAAGAATTAATTGAACGTTTATTATGTAAACAAAAAACTGAGTTTAAAATTCTAATAAAACAAAAATTCTAATAGAACAGAAGAGTTTTTTTTTTACAATGTAACAACATATTTCAGGTTGTCGCTGTTTTGAAAGGTATTAGGAATATTAAACATCTGGAGAACAATATCATCGACAAGCTTGTACACTGCGCGGCAGATGATAGTGTTAAAGCAAGGGTGCGAGTTGCGGCACTTGAAGCATTCCTAGCTGATCCCTGCTCCGCTAAGGTAACTGAACATAATTTGTTTATAACATAATAACTACATACGCACACATAATTATACAGAGCAACATTGATTTAATAGTAATACTATAAATGTAAAATATCATCTACCCTTATAAATAAAATTGAAGTGTCTGTCAAGGGTATATTTGCGTACTTTTAAAACCTTAATAACCATTATTAAAATGTTTGTCCATCTATCGCCTGTCTGTCTATCCGGGCTAATATTTGAAATAGCTGAGCCGATTGTAATGAAACTTATAAATAAATAGAGAGCAATGACAGAAGTGCTCGAGGCTATATTTTAATCCCAATAACCTGGAGATTTTTTAAATTTTTAATCCGAATAACTTTAATTTTCTTAAATCTACGGAACCCACTCAAGCGAATCGCCAGTATTAAAATAATACTATTTAAATAAAAATTTTACAGATTAAGACCACAGCCTTGGATTTGATGAAGAAGAGGAATTTGGACTCCGAAATTCGCATCAAAGCATATTTAGCTGTGATAGGCTGTCCTTGTGGAAAGTCTGCCAATGAAATAAAGAACCTCTTAGATTCCGAGCCAGTCCACCAAGGTAAGTCAAACAAGGTTCAATAAAATATCATATACATCACAATGTCATTATTAAATAACTACAGTATAAAATTTGAAATAATTTTGTTATAATATATTAAATTAAATTTTTATTGTTTAAAAATATGTTCAACAATATTGTATATTTGACTACAAGTTATTTTGACGCCATTTATTGGCATACCCTACTAAAACCCAACAGTCTCACAAACGTTCAGAACCGGAAAATTTATCTGTATGAAATACAAATATTTTTTCAATGCGGTTCTCGAACCCTAAAAATGTTGGAAGCCTGCAATATCGCAGCCAAGCACAGCTGGAGCTACTGTGCGACCGTAATTTGCATGGAATTTTTTATTTAGTAGCTTCACCATCTACTACTAAATCTACAGCCCACCACAAGTTGAATGCTGAACATAGGCCTCCCCCATAGAATGCCACAAAGTAAGTACCTGAGCCACCTGCATCTATCGATTGCTTGCGTGTTTCATCAGGTGGTCACTATATTAAGTGGGGTAGTCCGAAAACTGCGCTTGCTATAGTACAAGGCAGCCAGCTTTATCACCATTTGTTATAAAATATTCCAGCTAATAGTGTAACGTAAAATTTCAGTTGGCCGTTTCATAACAACATCATTGCGTAATATTCGATCCTCGTCAAACCCTGATAAACGTCTTGCTAAGCTCCATTATGGCCAAATTGGAACACCAAGCAAATTTAACATCGACGACAGGTATGATATCCGCTTTATAATAAACCTTTTAAATATGCACAATATCAAAAAAAAATGTATAATTAATTGTAACTGTATATTTCTAGGAAATATTCTTTCAATCGAGAAGCATCATTTAACGTTGACGCACTGGGTGCTGGAGGAAACTTGGAACAGACTGTTATCTATTCTCAGGACTCGTTTTTGCCCCGCTCCGCTAGCCTTAATTTAACAGCTGAAGTTTTTGGACATAATCTGAACATTCTCGAGGTAATATCTCATGAACAAAAAAGTAAACATAATCAAACAGGTTTTAAACTGCAACAATAAAAAAATTATAACAGATTTAAACAGAATGCAGTTATTGATTATATGAATAAAAATCTATTTTGGTTTAATAACGATCAGCATTAATTTTATTCTTTTAGATTGGTGGTCGTCAAGGTAATCTTGATCGTGTGATTGAGCATTTCCTCGGTCCTAAAGGCTTCCTTCGTACCCAAAAGCCACAAGAAATATACGACAAACTAGTCGAACGGATGGAGAAGTCAAAACAGAAGGTCGAAAAGGGCTTGGGGAGACGTCGTCGCTCGATCAAAACTGAAGTTGACAATTTTGACAAAAAAGTAAGTAACTTAATCATTGATTTAAAAAAATAATTAAAAAAATCGTTAGTACCATTATTTCTAAGATTTTTTTTCTGGTTGCATATTGCTTAAACTTAATGATTTATTTCAGATTAAGACCGAATCAGTGCCCTATAATGACGAGCTAGACCTGGACATTTATCTAAAGCTGTTCGGCACAGATGCCGTATTTCTGTCCCTAGGGGATGATAAAGGATTTAATTTTGACAACTTATTAGATCAACTAATTAGCATACTGCATAATGGTATGAACAAAGTTAAAAATTTCCAGGTAAGGACCATAATAAAATTGATTTTTACTCTAATTAAGATGTACGTAGTTTTCTCTAATTTTACCCCGATTATTTTGCATTTGCAGATACTACTTAATATTATAAGTATATTTATAAGTTTTGTTTCGGAAAACATAAAAATCATTTTAAAGTATTCAACACACTACAGTATATTTTGTAAATCAATTTACTATTTTAATAACATATAAATAAATTTGCAGAACGAATTCCGCGGCCATCTTCTTTTCTTGGATGCCGAACTAGCCTACCCAACTTCCACTGGTCTCACGCTTAAACTCGACCTCGTCGGTGCTGCTACTGGCCGAGTGGATATTGGAACAAATGTTGACATCCGACAATGCCTCCGAAATCCGGAAAATGCAAAAGTTGACATCAAACTGATTCCTTCCACCGATATTGAGATAGCCGGTGTTATGATGGTTGACGCAGATGCTATCGGTGCCGGTCTCAAAGTGGTTACTAACTTGCATTCTTCAACTGGTGGCCATCTTATAGCCAAGGTAACTTTTATAAACCGTATATAATATTTTAAGTATATATACATTTATATTTTCAATATTGTATGTAACAGTTTTTTTTTTAATAAATTACAAATAGGATTTCGATAAATATACGAATTATTGGACATTGGATGGAGTAAGTAAAAGAGTTTTTGGGTCCAAACTTTGTAAAGATTCATTTTCACTTTCTTCTAAGAGTCAATATAAAGTAGCCAATAGGCTAATCTGTTATCAAAGGTCATTATTCAAAAATGTTAATTAATACCGTCATATTGCATTTCAAGATGATTGAGAACGGCCAAGGTTTCGACATCCAATTCGGTCTGCCGGTTGAAAAGCAAGAAATACTTGTTGCCTCCAACGAACTGGTGTACTTTTACGCAGAAAAAGGACAAATGGAAGTTGTAACCCCCGTTAAGGTAGACGCTAATACCAAAGAGTACAAGGGATGCTTTGATCAACTTTCTGACGTCATTGGCCTCACTTTGTGCGGAGAAGTGTCTATACCCTTCTCTGTCTCCGGTAAGTTTCTTTTGCATAATTTAGCAAAATTTAGAAAGAAATAATATGCTTTAACAATATTACTAGACAAATTTCAACACAAATAAAATCCTATATTCACTTTAAAATGTAATAAAATTGAATTCTGTTTAAAATTTTTTTTTGTATAATTTTACTCGTGTCTTCAACACTAAAACGTTTAAAATTTATACTAGGTAGTGGAAACTTAAATTAAATATTTTATTTTAGTAAGTATTAGTTTTTGAAAATTATTTTTCGAGTAACAGGACCCGAAGCTCAATCATCCATTTCGAAGTTCATGGCCCGCTACCCGATTACTGGACCTGCGAAAGTCAAATTAATATTAGAAAAGAATAACCTAAGAGGGTACCATATTAAAGGCGTACTACGCAGAGATTACAGAGCTGAAAAATATGGAATCGAACTACTCTTTGATGCAGAAGGTATATTTTTACATAGTAATTTCAATTAATATTATAGTCTTTTACTACATGGAATTTACATTTACATTTTGGATTTTAATTTTTTAGGCTGTAAAACTGGCCGTATACAATTTAATGCTGACGCAGTTGTATCTGACGAAGAGAAATCAGTGAAGTTATCCCTGGACTCACCCTTCAAGGTTCTTGCTGGTGAGGTAGCCTTGTACACCAAATCTAACAGGGAATATGCACTTCAAGCCAAGGCCAAAATAGACGCTGCTGAATATTACGGCAGGTTAGGATTTGATGTGCATAGAGAGGGCTCAAACTCCATTTACAAGCCTGTGTTAGAGTATCAGGTACCTAATAACAACGGAAAACAAGTTGTGAAAATAGACGGGCAAATCACTCATGACATGAAACAGAACCAAATCTCATGGAATTTGAGAAATATCAACGCTCCCTTCATCCAATCTAACGACCCACTTGACCTCAATGGATATTACAAATCTCTAAATAACGGATTTGATTTGGATGTAAAGGGTAAAATGGGTCAACATACCCTGCTGCTTCTTGCTTCCATGAATAATGCAGATTTTAAACTAGAATTCCAAAACTCTTTAAATCCTTATATCAACTTCAAAGTGAATGGTCATTTCGAAAATGCTAACGGGGTAAGTTATATAAAATATTATATCAAACCAAATCTTCTCTATGAACGTAGTTTTTTTTTTATAAAATAAATAAATTGATTTCAGATTGTTCACAACGATTTCGATCTGTGGTACAGTGGAGATCTTCGCAACTCTCAAAATCGTGTCACTTTCAACCAGTTCTACAAACGTCATGATGATGAAAAAGGATTTACTATCATCTCAAAGAATAAATGTAAGGAATTCATTTATCTATTTAATCAACCTTTATTTTAATTCTACTACCGAGTATTGGCTTTTAGGAAACTAAATCAGTTCGCAAACATTACTTGCATATTTGGCCATTATCACCGTGTTGGTTTAACGTGCCGGTTAACGCAAGGTTTCTACATAGTTAAGACGATTCTTTAGATGATAACCTCTTATTTGTAATACTGCTCTCCGTCACAAAACTGTGAAATTTAGGTTCAGTGTTATTTCTCACCGTAATTCGATCAACAGAGCTTAGTTCGTTAAACAACTTGTTGGGGTTATGGTTGTTTTGTTATGGAATAAGGGGGGCAAACGAGCACACAGTCCACCTGAGAGTAAGTGGATGCTGCGGCCCATAGACATCTACATTTATATCCTCGATTAAAAATCAATATTCATATGCGTTGTCACCCATAAGGACTAAGATGGAATGCCTCGTTTCCAGTAAAAAGGATATCTGATAACCAACACTGACCATACGAAACAGAGCGGAATTGAGCTGCTACTTTACGCTGACAGTCTGTGAGAGCGTGGTCCTTACCCGGTCCAACCACCCATTCCACCCTAACCCACGGTTTTTTCTATTTGGAGAGCAGTCAAAATTTTGGGGGAAAAATATAGACACTCCGACACACTTTTTAGTAAGAATGGCCACTGGATTTCTTTAAATTAATGTAGTACTTTCTTCAATTCATTAAATAATAATGTATGTGCACACAATTGTAATAAGTGTTGATGATATCCTTTACCGTACCATAAACAGTGAGCCGCTTGCTCGTATGACCCTCTCCTAAAAAAAAAACAGTTACCTTTCATGGAAACGAGGATCGCAGCTAAATTAATGTATTTCGAAATTACAGTTTAATAGCGAAAAAGGACCAATACAAAAAAATTACGTTTTTGAAGTGAAATCTTCTTTAGAATCGCTTTAATTTGAAACTGGATGAAACGAAAAAGATGAAAAAAATCTATATTAGTGGCTTATGGTAACTAAAATATATTTCATATTTTAGTTACCATAAACCACTTGTGTCATTGGTTGAAATTGAAACTAGGAGCCTATTTAATATGCAATGAAATGATATTGTCTTAAATAAAATTTATAAATAAATAAATTTGGTAACAATATTATAATAAATAAACCCTACAATTATCCTACAGCTGATACTCTGCATTCATCTCATTCTCTCGAAGTATAGTTTTCTGAATGTTTCACTTCTACCTGTGTGCAGTTCACACGCGGTAGAAGTGAAACATTTCTAAATCTACCCTGGTAGAACACGCGGTAGAACACGCGGTAGAGCACGCGGTAGGTTGTGGTAGGTTTATATAAAAAACATGACTTTTTTATATGAATGATACTGGTAATAAGATTTTTAATATATTTAACGTTTCAACAGTAAAATATTTCGACTGTAATCATACATGTTACATCGTTACTAGAAAATAATATAATAGTAGTTGATATATAAATTTAATTCTATATTTAAGCATCATGTCAATCAAAAAAAAATACATCTGAATTTATATATCTATATATTTTTATATAATATTTATTGCAGTTGAAATTCACTGTCTACCATTAAGAGCTAAAGCAGAAATGCAAATGGACGGCGGAAGGGTAAATATTGAACTAGAAGGTCAATATATCGATAAAAAGGCCGAACTTGAACTAGAAGCAAGAACTTTCATTAAGAAAGCTGGAGATTACAGTTACAAATTGAAGGCAGAGTTCGACCGTCAAGGTTTAGAGGCATTTGCGAAACGAGATATTATTTCTGCTGATAAATCTAATTTCGAAAATTACATTGTTATTAAAGGCATTGGAAAGTATGAATTGTCTGGAGTAGTATTGCACAAAAACAAGGCTAATGATATGAACATTGGTGCTATTGGACACCTGAAAGTCTCTGGTGGTGGAAAGAACGAAGATATTAAGTAAGTAATTCAAATAATATAAACTTGTCATTCATTTTGTGGCGGTGGAAGACGCACCGGCAATCGGACTGCACTATCGACCTCCGGTCTGAGCAGGGGGGTGATGCGGCGGCGCTGTCGTCGCGCCACAAGCTAAAACACATCGAAGCCTAAATCACGTTAACAAAGTTCCGAAGTTAAAGCAGAATATATAGAGTAGCTCCGAACTACCACTCGGAGCGTTGGCCGCTCCCCAGGCAGAATATCTTGCCCGGCGGGAGATCTCCCCTTTTCCTTCCACTGCCACAGTGGTGACCCTGACATCATTTAGGCTTCAATGTGTTTTCGCTTGTGGCGCGACAACAGAACACCTTGCCCGGCGGGAGATCTCCCCTTTTCCTTCCACCGCCACACATTTCTAAATCTACCCTGGTATATTTTCCATATTAAAAATCTCTCTACTTGACCATTTTCTTGTTCTAATCAGAATAAATAAAATAGTTTTAAGTTAGGTTTATATTAGAAAGTTTCATTTCTAGATTTACATAAATTACCAGCGCATTAATTTTTATAATAAAGCATTTTCAGTTCAGCTTATTCAACGAATTTTTTTATTACTAGATTTGATTTTGGCGTTATTGAAAACGCCAATCTCTACTCCTCGCACGCCAAACTGTCTTCAAACAAAGGCGATTTCTTGGACTACTTGCTTAAAATTAACCGTGGAGCCAACGCTAGTGGCCAACTGAAATTCATTCTGAAGGATGCTATCTCCGCTAATGGGCAGTTCAAGGTCACAGACAACGACGGCAAAGGCAACGGAATGATCATCGTTGATTTCCAAAAGGTACGTATTGTTAAGGTATTGTTACACATATTTTATGTTCTTTAGTTTTTTTTTTTAATTTCAATTGTATAATTATATAATTGACTGTTCTTATACATGCTCTTGTTGTCACTTAGTAAAACTTCATTTTTTTTTTAATTTTGTAATTTTGTTTGACACCTTGTACTTGGTTCATTTATATTTCTAATTTATTAAATTAAAAAACCAACCGGTCCCTATTACAGTAATCTATCTATACATATAATAAAACTGTAAATAGCAGATGTCTGTACATTTTATATTTTTGTAATAAAAGTGATTGAGGGGTACTAAAAATAAGTAATTAAATACATTTCTACCATTTTTAGAATTTTCTGTCTGTCTGTCTGTCTGTCTGTTTGTTTGTTAACGTATCACGTATAAAGTACTAATTTATATCATAAGAATTGTTAAGGAAATTATAAAGTGTATCTTCGGGTTACATTTAGTCTTTATTTCATTAAAATCAGTTCATTCCATCAAAAGTTATGATAAATATTCTGAAGTATGGGTAGGGAAGTATAGGTACGAATTTGCTCAACGGTGGCTTTGTTTGAGTCATCAAGTGCATTTTAAACTAATATCATATCATAAATCATAGTTAAATTATGTAAAATAATGATATAATTATGTATATCTAAAATGCAGTAAACAAAAGTATTAAAGAACGTATTAAATATATTATACAAAAATATATTTAACCTTATTAACTAAATCTGAAGCACAATAGTTAACCCATTTCTTCGATAGATGGTGGTGTAGTGAAAATGTAACAATGTGGTTTTTTCCTGTAGATGAGTTTTCATATTTACTGCTAATCTTTATTATATTACTCGCTGCCCTACTGCGTGTTGACAAACTCAATTTATTCTTTACCGCCAAGTACTCTATGTGGTAAATCAAATTTTAAAAGAGCTATTAACAATTGCGTTGGTTTTGGCGAGAGTCAAACTTTATTTTTTGCTTACTGTGCAGGCACTGATTTATAAGTTCTCTTGCGTTTTATATAATGTATCAATCGCGTCAATTAATCTCTTTTATTTTTAGAATTGATGTTAGCAGCGCCATCTCTCTTTAAATATATACATCATATAATAAAAATGATGATAACATGTTGTGTCTCTTTCTGTACATTGTATATATATTTTGGTGGCTAAAATCATTATGGGGAACTGAAAATAATTAAATAAGAACATTTTATAATTTTTAGAATTGTCTGTCTGTCTATTTGTCTGTTATTATATGAACGCATCACGTCTAAAGTAAACATCTTTTATTTTCAAAGAAATCGTTAAGAAAATCATAAAGCGTATCTTCGAGTTACATTTAATCTTTGTTTTATTAAAATTGGTTAATTCTATCGAAAGTAATGATTATTATTTTGAAATGTAGGTTCGAATTTGTTCAATGGCGCCATAAAATCTCAGAAATAGTAATAAAAAGATTTGTGTGTAAAAAAAACGTTCCATAATAATTAATATATTTATACTTAAAACACAAAAAGAGATTTAAAAAGGATGTTTCCTCACACAAAGGACGTAATAGATGGAGTTGCACAAATTACAAACTTTTCTGAATTGCTGTGTTGAGATTTTTCGCCGATGAATCGTATTGAGACTTCCTGAAGAAATTTGTATACATCGAAGCCATACAACGGAACCCGAACAAAAATAAAAATTTTGCAACGAAATGTCGTGATATTGTATTTATAATATACGCAAAATCAGTATTGCCATTTTAGCGCTTTGGGAACTAGATTTAGCGCTTTTTTGGAATGTATAGCGCGCATTTCGAAATTTTAGCACCTAGCTTAATCCTGCGCTTTTTGGTGTATTTAGCACACATTTCAATATTTTAGCGACTAGCGGGTTATTAACTCTTTTATAGCAGCACTGTTAGTTCACATTACCGATAATAATAATAATGACCTTTATTATTTTTTCCCACAAATAGTACATTGCAGTTTATCTTTTTCAAACATATTTTTTCCACAAAACAAAGAGCATGGGAGACGAGTCCAAACTAGGATACCCTGTGCTATGGATCTCCTGGCTTCCCCTTTAGGATGATCAACTTGATTTTTTTACCGACGACTATAAGCGGGGAAATCCCCTTTATTAAAGTTTCCGTTCATGGTTTTGGCAACGCATTTATTTTGCTTTATTCAGTTTCAGTCAGTTGCTTAGAGCACAGCTAAGTTAAAAGTTACTTAGAAGTTATAACACAAAGAAACTGTGTAGCAACCGCAATCAGATGCTGACATCTGAAACTAAGTTGCGAAATACATTGCACTTTAAAACAATTAATGACATTTTTATTGTTCGTACAGTACTAACTACTATTGACAGCAATTGCCATAATTATAAGTCGATGTCCTGCGAAGTATTGATACATCAAAAAAATATTGCCAGAAAAAAAACTTAATGTTGTTTTCTTTATTATGATTATATACAAAAAAAAACAAACTTTGTTTGTAGTTAATTTAGCGCGAAATCTAGGGCTTTTTTAAAGCGCTGTTTTCATGAAATCTAACGCTTTTTGTGTTGTCCTAGAGCTGAATGAGTTTTTTTTTTATCTGGCAGCACTGCCCAAAAACCCTCTATTAAGAAGTAACTTTCCTTTCAGTTTTAAGCGCGTTCAGTTCCCAGTTACAGTGAGCGTGTGTTATGCGATGACCGTAAATAAAGCGCAAGGTCAAACTTTACGCGTTGTAGGAGTGTACCTCAGTACTGACTGTTTTGCACATGGCCAACTCTATGTTGCTTTTTCCCGCGTTAGTAGCCCCCGTAACCTTTTTGTGTACACCCCGGCTAAGCCTACTTCTAACGTCGTTTACACAGAAGCTCTATCATAAACGACTTAGAACTTTGATGATAATGATTTATTTAGTTACCACTTATTGATACAGTAATGAAATAAATCGTTTAATATTCTCTTACCTAAACGACAAATTCTTTATGTAAAACCTGTATACGCGAGCTACGCCGCGGGCACAGCTAGTTGTACATATATGTCGTTACGATGCCGTGAGGTGGAATAGATTGCTAGTTAATAAATTAAAATATAAGTGAAACAAGTACATATTCGTATATTATATGTCAACCTGTATATATCAGCTATATGCGTAAGTTTTTTAATGATACTCGTTAAATTTTATTTGTTACAATTTTTGTCTCCTTCTGTTTAGACGCAACGTAAAATAAAAGGTGATGTTAAGTTCGTTGTAAAAGAGCCCGTTTACAATGCCGAAATTGACGTGTTCCTCAATTACGAAAAGGACAATAATGACAAACTTCATGTCAGCACGAATAACAAATACACGAACAGCAAGCTCGATTCCAAGTAAGTATAACACAAATAACGATTCGCCGAATTTTATGCACAATCATTCAGAATGTAGGTAATGTTTCTTAGTTTTATGTTCTTTTAATCATAACATAACTCATAACGCCTTCACAGATTGGTACAAACCGTGGTTCTGAACCACCTACATCCATCAATTCCTTGCATATTCCGTCGATTTGTTACTGTAGTACATTGTTTCCTCACCGGTATTCTGATACACAAGCTATGTGGCCAGATTTCTTCAACGGTGATACTTAAACTTTCAGATTTTTCACATATAATTTGTAACAGATAACATGTGATTACTAAAAATGTTGTATTGCAATTTCCTTTATTCAATTCAGCCAAGTTGCGAGTCACAACTTTACCTCTTAGCCGGACTTAACTTGTCGGACTTTGACAAGAAATTCCACTCATTTTAACGTGGAGATGTAGTTCAAGACCGACATAACCAACTCTTTCTGTTGATCATGGCGTAAATGAATACTTGAGGCAATTTTATGCAAAATTATGGAGACATTGCGGAATATTTATAAATTTACTTATTTTTTTTAGGAACAAGATTGAGTATGCTGGTAAGAAATTCGAAATTAACGTGCTACAGGATGGATCACTTCTTGGTGATTACAAAACTCATTCTAATGTTGAAGTTGTACTTCCTACTGAAAGGTGCCTCAACTTGAAGTTTAACAGAGACATCACTGACAAGGACAACGTAAGCTTTTACTTAATTTTGAATTTCAATTAAATGTAGAATCGCTCGATAGGAGAAGGACATCGAACTAATACCAGCGTGATAATAGTAATATAATTCTGTTGCGCTCCATATAGTAAATGCCCAAAACCGGACATCCCCTTTATTTTTTTTTACTTTTGGTTTTGAATCAACGAAAAAAACTGTCTATGGAATGAAGCCTCCTTTCACCAACAGGTGGATTGTGCGTGCTCGTTTGTCACCCTTACTTTGATGTAAAAAACGTCAGTTTATTTTTTAAACCAAATCTTTTATTTAATAAATGGTTGTTACTTATTTGTTAAGTTTTATACGTGGTAGAGCCTGCTGCAGCTACATTATTGTAGCACGAATGGGTCGGCCCGACCGGGGAAGGACCACGCTCTCACAGAATACCAGCGTAAAATAGCAGCTTAACGCTGCTGTGTTTCGTATAGTGAGTGTAGAGAACCGGAGACCCTTTTTACTGGAAACGAGGCATTCCATCTTAGTCCTCACGGCTGACAACGCATCTGCATTTTGATTCGCAAACGACGATAAATGTAGATGTCTAGAGGCCACAGCAACCACTTACTATCAGGTGGACTGTGTGCTCGTCGGTTACCCTTATCATATAAAAAAAAAGTCTAGATTCGATTAAATTTTGTAAACAATGCATTTTACATGATTTTTATATACTTGATCTTAAAACACAAAATAAAACATTATTTTTCCAATACAGACACTAAACGGACATGCCGAACTCAGTTTATCAGACGCCGAGAAGCGTGGAGGACCGGCTTCAATAATCGCTTATAAGGGAAAACTTATTAACACTAACTATGACAAGGAAACTTTAGACTACGAAGGTCAAATTGAATTGAAACTCAGGAATGGCAAACAACTTCTAAATTCCTTCACTTTTAAGAATATTCCATTAGGAGATGATAAATTCAAATTTGACGTCAAGGTGAGTCCTGAATATAAAGTCCATAAAATTAGTTAAGTAATTGGAAGAATTTTCTACAAAGATATTTACAGTGTAGCACGAATCGTAACGGTAAAAAAATTTAATTCATAAATCTGCAATTTATGTCGCAAAGCAATTTGATATTTTATTTTATTTATTTATTTATATATTTCATACATTACATTTATTAATTATATATCACATTACGGTACAATCATAAGTTTATAGAAACGTAGCGCCGGACAATGCTCTGAGGAATTGTTCGGACTAATTTCAGCCACTCAATTTCACCATCGCACATCGCACATCCAGATGGTATGGATGATTGGCGGTCCACCACTGTGCGATTTAGAAGATGTTTTATTCCTCGAACAACTTATTTGTGGAATCGATTACCACCAGCGATGTTTCCGGACCGATACGACTTTTGCCCCCTCTTCTATAAAAAAAATCGCCGATAATAATAAATATTAGGGTGAAGTAAAAAATTACACTAATTATTAATTAAGTGCGTGACCTGCTATTGCAGGATGCATTGCTCATGGATCGCATATACAGGGCGTTTGTTTTAAAGCGTTATCGTAATATTTATTAGTAATACATATTATGTATAATTTAAATCTAAATTATAATTTTTTATTATTTTTTTAATATAGTCCAGTCATATCAAGTCAAGCACAAATACTTACTTTACAGATTGATGTCAATGGCAATCTCATACCAAAACCGGCAACATTAACAGCAAGTTCGACTTACAGTGATAACGACTTATTTGACGATAAGTACAGGCTCAAGGCTTACTACGGCGAAAATGTGGGAGTCGAGTTGGTTGGTGACTGGACATTTAAGACCGAGGGTGGAGTCAAAAAGTAAGTCTCTAAAACAATTTAAATATCTTCCTTAAACTTGAATCGAAGTCAAAAGTTTTTTTTTTAAATATTCTACTAAGCCAGCGTTTAACTACAATCCCACCTGATAGTGGGTCTAGTCTAAAAGCCTATTCACTCTTGCCTTGGAGACACCCATATTGTAATCGGATGGAAAGACAGATGCTGGCAACTTATTCCACTCTTTTGCTGTACGCATGATGAATGACTTAGCAAACCGTTTGGTTCGAAATCGTGTTAAGTCTTCAAGGAAAGAGTGGAGACTGGCCAAATTTCTGGTTGGCCGATGGTTTTCTAAGGATTCTCGAGTTCTACGCTGAAAATCTTCTTGCTCACCCCTTTCCGTTCTTCTCATCGCATAGTTTATTATAATTTTAATAGGTTTATCTTAGCGAGTTGCAGATTCAGGCCAAATGCGCTGTAAATGTTTTTAATCGAATTTTTTACGCTACATCTCTTAAAATTAATATGAAATACTAAGGTCCGTAGGTCTTACATATTACATATTTATTACATACGGCCTTTGCGTCTCGCCGCCTTAGCACGTGCCGCATCTTGTCAAAAGCGCCACCGCAACTTCAAAGGTCGCTGCGAGCGGTGTACACGCGCATGAGAATTTGGCATTTTAAAACTAAGCGCCGTAGTGAAAAGTTCTTTGCTGCTTGTTTTTATTATTTATATTCGTATTGTATTACAATAACGAAAATTTTATTTATTCTATTTCATTCTTCGAATAGAAAAACATTTACTTAACAAACACAATAAAAATAATAAAACAAAAGCAAAATAATAAGTGCGCCTCCTATATAGACTATCCTTTTCTTTTATATGATAAGATGACAAACGATCAATTTCTGATCAATTCACCTGATGGAAAGTGGTTACTGTGACCCATAGACATCTACATCTATTCTCTATAAAGAATCAAAATGCAGATGCGTTATCCCCCGTGAATACTAAGATGGAATGAGTCTTTTCCAGTAAAAAGGGTCTCCGGTTCTCACCATACGAAACACAGTAGTGTTAAACTGCTATTTTACGCTGGTATTCTGTGAGAGCGTGGTGCTTCCCCGGTCGAGCCGACCCATTCGTGCTACAACTATACTTTTAATATAGCTGCAGCATGGCTTTACACGTATAAAACCTTGCAAAATTACTCAAAATTCTATATGATATTAATAGATTCTCGATTACCTAAACTCATGAAGTTTGGCAAGAGGTTATACAAATTACTTTTTATTTAGAGTTTTAGTTTCTAGTTAATTTGTTGTCATATCACCAATCCATATTCTAGACGTATTATAGACTTCTGCAAAGTCAAGTTTGTCTTTCAATCCGACTTACCATTTTTTACAGCATGTTAAGTGGTTACTTTACCTGTAATTTATACTTGCGATTGGTGTCACTTGGTGAAACTCTAGTTTTATTTTTGTGATTTGAATAAACATGAAACTATTAGTTGTGGTTATCTAATCACAATAATTACGTACAATTCTTAACTTTATATGAAACTATCAGGGCGCGAGTCATACTCTCACTTGTCCGGAGTTATTTTTTTAAATGAACGTAATTTTACAATTTTCAGTTATAATTTTCCACAAGATATAATGACACTGAAGTTTATTACGGTAAGGACACATAATTTCTACTGAACAAACTTCGATGTAATTATGTTTTTCGACATTACAGATACGTTGACGACAGCTCTCTTTCACTGCGTTTGCCTTTTGAACAAGCCCACGATATTAAATGGATTTCCACAGTACAGTTCATTTATCCAGAAGACAAGGGCTTTGCCGAGGTACATTACCAGTTCTTTAATGGATTTCAATATTTTGTAATTTATATTATTTCATTAACATTACCTAGACCACTGACATTTGCTGGACGTTAGATTTTTTTTCTCAGGGATGGCTGACACATTTCTAGATAAATTTAGAAAGCAAAACATTATCTACATTATACATATTAGTCAAAACTCATAACCAATCAAAACCACTTTTGACTGCAAAAATCAGGCAAAAGTTGGTTTGACTACGGATGTTAGTCAATAGCACATTATTTTTTGCAGTCAAAAGTAGTTTCGACTAAGGACGTTGGTCTGACCAAATTAAAAAAGTTAAGTGTTTTGACCAAGAATGTTAATCGTAACTACTTTTGACTTATACTTTTAAATTTTTAAAATTAAAAAGTTCAATTCTTTCAAATATTTTACACCATTATAATTTATCCGGTTTTGGAGAGGCCCAAGGGTCACTTGTGGCTATAAAAATCAGTCAAAACTGTTCCACTAAGGGCATCGGTCAAAACATTTTTTTTTATTTTCTCAGAGAAGAGTGGCTTTGACCGGTTATGAGTTTTGACTGTAACACATATATACAATTTGGAATTGAATTGCTCACTAAGGGTACGAAATATAATTGTCTGCTTTTTCATCATCAGCGCGTAAAGAGTCGAGCACTGAAAGATAACACTTCTCTTCTCTTCCTCTTCGACTTCTCTCGTTACAGAGAAGCTTTCTCATAATAGCTATGCATCCTTGCCTCTTCTTTCCATCACTAGTCTATGTATTATAACGAGATGGCTTTTTCACTTTTTATCTAAAGTCATGAGAACCTTCTGATATTTTTCATATTTGCCTGTTAGATTGTTTGCATGACGTCAATGAAGTAGGTCACAGAAAATAACAGAATAGAATCATTTTTATTCAATACTAGCGATTCGTCCCGGCTTCTCACAGGTGATTTCTGGATCTCGACTACAGCGACACCTGCCGGTATCCAATCGTGAATCTAAACCATCCAGGAACCTACTCAAACGCACACAAAAATGTCGTCAAAATTTGTCGAGCCATTTTGAGCTTTAGCGAGACTAACCGACAGCAATTGATTTTTATATATGGAGATAGATTACAAGAATAATTCTTGCGATATACGACTGTCAATAATTATTATTGACAGTCGTTTAAGTTTTACTACTTATTGTTTCTTTGAAAAACAGCACACTATACAATTAATCTTCTCGTTCACAGTTCACAGTATCCGAATCGGTCCTACTAAATGCAGACACTTACAAAATCGATGTAAACGGAAAAGTCGGAGTAGAAAGTGGAAATGCTGAAGCCAAGCTATTGGTGCCTCATCACGATCCATTTGTGATGCAAGGCAATTACGAAGTCTCTACCAATGGTAAATAATTGTTAATTTTTACTATGTAACCACTATTACTAAGATTTTACCAATACCGACCCGGCAGGGTAAAGGTGGTAGATGCCAATAAGCTCACACTGGCTATATACTACTTACTTTTTCTACCGACTTCAAAAAGGAGACGGCACTCGATTCGACTGTATGTTTTTTTTATGTGTTAACTCATAACTTTTTAGTGGGTGAACCGACATCGATGATTATTTTTTTTTAAAGCTGGTGCTTCACATGTGGTCCCATATAAATTTGATCAAGGTCTGACTAATAGTTTTTGAGTTATTCTTAATAATTTATATTGAAATCGGTGGTAAAAAATTTTTAATTTTAAATTCATAGTTATATTCTTTCTTATTATCCGGCCAGCCAAGAGCAATATCAGTTATGATTTTATAAATACCATTATTAGTTATGGGGTGGTCAGTTGGCGATAATTTTTATTCGTCAAATTTGTAACTGCAACTGCCAATTCACCAGCGGATTGTGAGGCGATTACTGGTTGATTTATTACAGTTCTGTACAATCCATTGCTTCGTATAGACCCACAAGGAATATCATAGAACAAGACTGTCTCGTGGGGAGCCGCCCTTCACTTACCGCAGCGAGACAGCCAGTCGAAAATCTGCTTGAGAATCTTGTTCTGCAATATTATAATAAACATTAGAACATCATTCATAATATTTTAAATTTTAGGTGATTTCAAATCTATCAAGGCCGATGCACAAGCTCGGTACGGAAAGATGAGGAGGGACGTGAAGTTGGTTGTCAAAGCAGCACCACGCGAATTTGACGCAGTCATCATTGCAAACGCACCGGACGCGGAGAAACTGAAGAAACTGGAGTTCAAGATCGACAGCAAGGTAACAATGAGTATTATGTTAGTCATGAAAAATCTCTTCAAATTAAAATTCAAAAACAAATATATGCAAAAGGATGAAGTCGTGGCTGTAGATACAGCGGTACAAGTATCTCGTATAAGCCAGATATAATCGAATATTTGACGAGCGACTGGGAGTATTCAATATTTTGAAGATTCAAAAAGTTCGCCAATTTGTACGGAGTCGGTGCACCTTATTCGTGGTTGTACGAGTATACAGTGCAAAGTATGATTAAATCTGCGTAAAAATACGTAATACGTAAAAATATAGAAATTATTACCCTTTATCTTTTCCAATTCTTTTTTATTTTTTATTTTTAACAGACTTCAAAAGAGAAATTTTCAATAAGACTGTTTATGTATATAACACGACGTGTCCTATATGAGTTAACTGATTTAACGGCTTTTTTAAATTTTATATTTGTTGCTGTTTCTTTTTACTCGTTATTTATTTCAGAGTTTTTCCATATATTTCAATCAAATCCAATGGCAAGTAAAGTTTGATTCAATTTATTTCAAATAATAATATTAACTGTAAATATTTCTTTTATTTTACAGAACTCCGCTCCCAATACCTACAACAACATACTGACCATTCAAGCTGATGACCGCGTTTACAAGACTGAGAGCATCGTTGTATACTCAAAATCACAACCTCTATTCGACTTAAAATACACTAGTCCATCTACGTCAAAACCTAGCAGGTATATTAATTAATTTATAAAAATGTTCTCTCTGTTCTAGTATACACTATGCAGTATTTAGAGGTGTTCGCAAATTTAAATTTAGAAGTAAAGGAAAGTAATGGCTGATAATATTTATAATAACTTAAAAAAACCGAACCAAAAAGAGCTAATGATCTTCAAACGGCTGAATAGCTTTTTTTGAAGAAAGGTAGGATAGGTATAGCTAAGAACCCTCTCGGTTAAGGTATCTTTCAAACAAAAAAGAAGTTTATCAAAATCGGTCCATCCATTCGTACAAACAGATACCCACTACAAACATATAACACCCCTCTGTTTTCGTCGGCGGTTAAAAACCAACTTTTTTGAATCTTGAGATTATAATAACACAATATGCACACGTATATGAGTATGATTGGATATCATTCATTTATTCATTAATTGAAGCCCACCAAAAGTCTAAAAACACGTAAAATTAAAAGTAATATACATTCCTACTCCCTGGGGTGTAATGTCAGAAAGCTGCGTTTCCTTGCTAAACAACTATACTTAGTATTTGTGCGAAAAAAGAACCAACCCTCTTGTCACCAACAGCGACGACTAGTCACGGATACAGTTCCTTTAGGGACTTAATCACACGCGGACTCCGATTTATAAATTAGTCGTTGTCAAGGATTTTGACAAATGATACCGTAGGGTGTTACTATACCAATCGATCAATCGTCGATCGATGGCGTGGATTGAAGGTGGAATGGATTAGTCGACGTCGATCGATAGTTTCTACCACATTCTACCCTAGAATTTTTATGTTTATGCGATTAGGCTGACAAACGAGCACACAGTCCACCTGATGCTAAGTGATTACTGCGGCCCATAGACATCTACATCTATCCACGTTTGCGAATCAAAATGCAGATGCGTTGTCAGCCGTGAGGATTAAGATAGAACGCCTCTTCTCCAGTAAAAAGGGTCTCCGGTTCTCTACACTCACCATACAAAACACAGCAGTGTTAAGCTGTTATTTTTCGCTGATTCTGTGAGAACGTGGTCCTTCCCCAGTCGAGCCGACCCATTCGTGCTACAACTATACAATTAAAATAGCTACGAACAAAAAAATTTTGTGGTAGAATGCTGCAACGTACAAGAATGGATTAGTCGACGTAGATCGAGCTACTACGTTATTCGAGAACCCGCCCTACTCTACCGACCGCTATTCCAAATGTCGTATAAATGAACTAATGCTATCGCCTCAATAAAACAGTCATATCCAGAGTCTTCTGCGTTTGCTCCTCCGTAATAATAACACGAGCAAGAGCGTACTGGTCAACAATAACGCGTCCTCTTTTGATACACTTTGAAAGATACTGATAATGAGTCCACAACCACATCGATTAATTGTCGATCGTAATCGATATATTATTATTCAATAATTTGAACTTGATAATATTGTTCAATAATTTGAACAACAGTAATCGATTACCATCGCTCGACGTCGATCAATGGCATCGATCGACGCTCGGTTAGTTGGTATGGTAACAATCTTGGACTATATTAGTAAAACAGAAATAAACTGTAGCATAGTTTCGATCTATAAAAAATCGATAATGTCCTATGAAATGTAAAATGAGTAATTTCAAATACGTCGCTTGTATATAAAATATTATATTAGTTAGGTCAATGCATTTGGCTTGTGTTTTTAATTATTAGTTTCTTTTTAGGCTATACGTCAGAGGTGACACGATCAGCCCATCACAGGGCAAATTTGAAATCAAATTAGAAAACATCAAGAATGTGGACTTGGACGCGACATGCGAGGGCAACGTTGAGAAGGAGAACATCTACCTAAAGGCCCAGGCCAACTCCGCTTACTTTGGACTGAAGAACTACAAGATAGATATCAGCAGCAAAGACGCCGGCAACGGCAAACGTCTCGAGTTCCATGCCGTCAATGACAATAAGAACCTGATTAGTGGCAGGTAAATATAATTGTGATAATTGTTCTCCTCCGTGTACTGGCGGTGTAAGAATATCCACTACCCCATATCATCTCATGGGTGTCGTATGCGGCGATAGAGTGAAACAAATCAGAAGACGGTCAGCAGTGTGTTCATAATAATGACTAAAAATAAAAATAAACTGCGGTTGACAGCCCGCTTACCAAGCGTGGCAACTATAGCAAATAACCTCCCTATGAGGCAATCTATGGGGGAGGCCTATGTTCAGCAGTGGACTTCAGGAATCCTACCACTTGCCGTTACCGTTACAGCCTATCAAAACTGGGATCATATCATAGGGAGAATATTTTCCATGTTGCCGCCACGCTTGGCAAGTTGAACGGCATATTCTATTGGATTTTTTCTTTTTAGATTTTTTTAAGCATATTATGTTGGCGATATATCGCCCCCGTACTTCGAAAAGCACTTAAATATGTTGGTCCTGCGCCTGTTCTCTCTCCGATCATAAAGACTGGCTGCCGTGACTTCAACTCGGTCTAGAGTATACTATTACCTTTTTAAACCCGGGAAGAATTACTAAAACGTGTGTTTGTTTCTTCCAGTACCTCATTCATCAGCAAGCAAGAAGGCTCGAAGACAATAATCGAGGGTTCTGGCTCGGTCAAGGTGAAGGACGACCAGAAGCCGGCCAACTTTAAATACATCCGCACCATTCTCTCTGACGGCAGTGAGGTATGAAATTAACTTTTTAATAAAAAAATCCATAACACTAAAAAATATAAAGTGTAATCACTTGAGAGGTAATTTGACTATATGTTTTTTTTACGTGTGTTACCTACCTCATAACTTTTTTCTAGGTGAACCGATTTAGATGATTCTTTTTTATTTGAAAACTGATGCTTTACATGTGGTCTCATGTAAATTTGATCAAGATCTGACTCATAGTTTTTGAGTTATTTTTAATAATTTATATTGAAGTCGGCTGCACAAAATTTTTAATTTTTAATTATTGAATTTTCGCTGAGGAAAATGTGGCTACTACCGAGTTACTAATTGCAAAAAAACGTCGCATAACCTATGAAAAGATTCGAGAATATCTGGGTATTGAATTGGTGTGAGCCAATTTCAAAGAAATTTACATCAAAAGTTAGTAAACTAAGTTTCCACTGAATTGCTCATGAACTCACCCCACAGCAAAAATGAGCTCAAGTTGAATGATGTTAAAAAATATTGTTAAAGTATGATCATGTTTAAAAGTTGTGTATGACATTTGGACAGGAGATTAAACATGCTCCTATTGTTTCATTCCGAAAAGAAAGCAACAGTTTCCGTACATATTTACATATAAATTATTTTATTTATTGGTTACGCAAATCTTTTAGTGTACCACGTATACCTTACTATTTGTAGACCACACAAATAATTGTAAAACGATGAGTACGATTCCACTTATCGCTCGTGTCGCTACTAACAAGCCGTCATAAATTCATCGACATTATTACCACCTAACAAGAAGCCACTACTGAACATGAAATGCCTTCCCCAGACATCCCATAGACAAAGGAGATATTTGTAACGCATGGTAGGCGGGTTGGTAATCGGGGTCTTTTCTGACGACTTCCAAAAAGGAGACGATACTCAATTCGACTGTATGTTTTTTTACTTGTGTTATCTCATAACTTTTTAATGGGTGAACCGATTTCGATGATTTTTTTATTTGAATGCTGGTACTTATCGTGTGGTCCCAATGAATTTGATCAAGGTCAGACCAATAGTTTTTGAGTTATTCTTAATAACTTATATTGAAATCGGCAGTACAAAATTTTTATTTTAAGTTAAGTTTATCTTTGTCGTCTTTTATAACGCCCCTGGGTCGATATAGATTTTTTTTATAGAATTAGGGTGACAAACAAGCACATAACCCACCTAATGGTAAGTGGATACTGTTGCCCATAGACATCTACATCCATCCTCGATTAATAATCAAAATGCATATGTGTTGTCACCCGCGAGGACTAAGATGTAATGCTTCGTTTCCAGTAAAAAGGGTCTCCGGTTGTCTGCACTCACTATTGGAAACACAGCAGTATGGAGCTGCAATTTTAAGTCACCACAACATAACATATATTTTTTTGCCAACAGACATTCCTGAACCTTGCCATTGGAGAGCGAAGCTACGTCGCAGAATCGAGGATGACTGAATTAGAATACAAGACCTCATACCTCTACTGTGAAGAGAAGAAACAGTGTGCCAACATCGACCTGCACTCGAAGATCAATGTTATTAGTAAGTTTAATTTCCTTATAAAGTACCCGTTATTTAACTACTGCCGTAAATTAAGGAGGTTTACAATTCGACTGTATGTATGTGCATCTATGTATATCTTCGTCAATTGTGAACCGATATGTTGATTATTTTTTTATGAAATAGGCTATATATATATATTCGTTAAAGCCATTACAGAGAAACCATAACATATACACATATTTGATTTTTATTTAATTAAATTTATATGACATACTCGTATAAAGTTAACCACCTCTGACGATTGCACTATTACGTTCTATCATAAAGTCCTTACGTAAAACTAAACATGTTATTAGGTAGAATTCCTTTTCTGCCTGAGTCCGTACGCGTCTTCTTCTGAATGCACTTTAAAAGATACTGTTGATGATCCCACAATCACATCGATTAATAGCCGATCGACATCGATCGATTATTGAACATTCCACCTTAGTCCTCCTAGGTGATAAGGCTGCAGTAAGCACATACCATCAGGTGGACTATAGATTCGTTTGTTATATTTTTTTTTATTTAGTAACTTATTACGAAAATGCATACTAAAGTAATGTTTTTTATTATGTACAGAACCAGGCCATATAGAACATCTTGTGAACGTCGACTTCGACCTCCGGAAATTAGGATTCGCGCCCGAGTTCGGTTTACAGATCTCCAACGAGATGTCTGAACTCATGTTACCTAAGTACAGCCTAGACCTTCACGTCAACAAGAACGACAAGAAATACCATCTGCATGTGTACTGCAAGCCTGAAAATGGATGTGAGTAAAATTAATATATATAATAATAATAATAAAACCATAATAAAAAAAAACTAAAACTAGAAACTTAAATTACCAAACCATCCTACTCTCCCCATGCTAGTGCCAAGAACGCTGGCTGCGTTTACTCGTTGAATGGCTATACTTAGCCTTTGAGCGAGAAAAGAACCAGTTAAAATATTAATTTCAAAATTAATGTCAATAAATTAATAATTAAATCAAATATTTTAATAATAAAATAATTAAATAATTAAGAATTATTTAATTTGAATAATATTTGAATATATTTTTTAAATATATAACTACTAATTTAAACATCTTTTCCAGTGATTCCTGCCGGTTTGACGGTGACCATCCCATCGCGAGTGCTGGCTTTCGAATCCCAAGTTCGATACACTCCCAACGCTGTCTTGTTCTTCCCTATTCACGGAGAGGTGGCGCTGTACCCTGACAAGAACAAGCCCCAACAAAAGACGGCAGCCAGAATGACCTTATCTGCTGCAACCAGTGACTCTCGAAGCTCTGCTCTCGCTGACTTCGCATTAAGCCATCCCAAACTTGGCGAGGTATTATTTAATACTTATCTCAATCAAAAGCCGAACCAGGAGCCGTGGTAGCTCAAATGGTTAGCGCTCGCTGTAAGATTCACAGTACTCGAGTAACCAGGGTTCGATCCCCGCCGGCAGCAATTAAATTGTTAATTGCAATTTTAAGTGCTGATTTATCACGTGCTCGGCGGTGAAGGAAAACATCGTGAGGAAACATGCATGTCTGAGAAATAAGAAAAAAATATTTCGAAGACATGTGAAGTTCGCCAACACGCATTGGGGCGGCGCGGCGGACATTTCCTTGCCCTAAAACCCGAGGAGGCCTGTGCCCAGCAGTGGGACGTAAACAGGCTGCAACTTTACTTATTTTATCTCAATTATCTCTGCTTGATTATTGATTGAAAGGTGATTGTCCTTATTCATCTATATTTGTTTTATTTTATATGAATGTTTATATTTATCTGGCTCGAAGGACCAAAATGATGATACAAACAACAAAAAGTCGAATCTGAGAAATTATACTTTCCAACAGACTTATAATATTTTCAAATGACTAAATATTAGGTAATTCGAACATAGTAATATATGTATATTGTGCGGTGCGGGATGCCTAATTTTTTTTATAGTACAGGGTGACAAACAAGCACACAGTCCACCTGATGGTAAGTAATTACTGCGACCCATAGACATCTACATCTATCATCAATAAAGACTCAAGATGCAGATGCGTTGTCACCCGTGAGGACTAAGATGGAATGCCTCTTTGCCAGTAAAAGGGGTCTCCGGTTCTCTACACTCACCATATGAAACACAGCAGCGTTAAGCTGCTATTTTACGCTGGTTTTCTGTGAGAGCGTGGTCCTTCCCCGGTCGAGCCGACCCATTCGTGCTACAACTATACTACTAATATAGCTGCAGCATGGCTCTATTTTTTCACACTACGAATAATTGCACCCGTATTTTACAGGAGATGACACTTAAAGTCAACGCAAAAATAGACCGTCCGCGTGATAACACCCTAGATATCGAAACTTCTGCAGTACTTTCACACAATTGCTTCGGAGGCGTAAGTAATTTTTTAAATTTTCTTGTTATGTAATATTTTTAAGGAACCAGCTTTTATTTACCTTGTTTTATTGATACAAAATAAACTGCCCCGTTAGTCTAGCGGTCGTTAACGCAATTGCTAATCACTATGTCCCAGGTTTGAATCCCAGTTCTGGACAAAATCAGATACTGGGTTTTCTGTCAAGGCACTCTCAGTATCAGCACGGAGTCAGGAAGTTGGAGACCATAAGCTACTTGCCTCTGAAAGCACGTGAAGCCGTTAGTCCTGCGCGTGATTACTTTCTGGTCTTGTCGGATTACTGTCCCATCGACGAGAGTAAGAGTTCTACTCTTACTCTCGTAGTAGGAGTAGAGAGTGCACCTATGCTTACGCACACACTTATGCACTAAAATCCTAACCAGCGCAAATGGCTAGTCTTCGTTGGTTGAGACTGGCCGTCGCAACCCAAATTTGACCTTGAGGACATTCTAGTTATTTCCCTGAACGTGTGATATAGCTTATTCCACTCAAAACTGAAAAAAAAATCTTAAAAATTATACTTTTAATAAAGTGTAATAAAAAACAATATTTTCACTTTTTATTAATAGAGTACAAAATTTAAATTTGAAGTTCAGTAAACATTTTTAATCTCCTTTTTCTCTTGCAGAAACGTGAATCAAAGATCAAACTGGATGTGAACCCAACGCACGTGAGATTATTGGTAAGATATCTTGATCACTCAAATCATATATTTTTGAGGGGCGTGGCTTTTCTAAGAACATTTGATTTTTCAAGGTCAACACACCGTTGGTCAAAGTCCTTGAGTTGGAAGGTTCAGTCGTCGTAAATGACAAGTTGCAACAAGGTGACATGGTCTTCAACCTCTTGGAAGGAAAACCAGTCCAAGTGCATGCGGTAGCCAAAGACTATCAATATTATGAATTCACGTCTGGATACAGTGGTGAGTTAATCTATTCATTTGCTTTATCCTTGTGTAGTGTCCCATGTAAGGATATCCACTAGCCTATATCATCCCGTGGATGTCGTAAGAGGCGACAGAGGGAAATAAACCAGAAGGTAGGCAGTAGCGTCTTCCTGATAATAAAAAATAAAAAACGCCGTTGCCAAATCGCTAGCAAACCGTGCGAACTATGAAACGATCTACGGTATGGAGGCTTACGTTCGGCGATCGACTTTGATAGACTATAATGGAGAGGTGGATAGAATATTGAAGTGTGGTATAATAGAGCGAGTTGAATTAATTATATTTATGTATGTAAGTGTGCATATTAATATGTATTTATTATGTAATAGATTTTTAATTCACCTACTTCCATACGTAATAATATAAAATTTTGCAAACACATTGAAAACCAACTGGCAATAAAATAATGTGATAGTCATGACCTATATGTCATAGTATAATCACTAAGATTATCTCGGTCCAACATTGAGTTTAAATTTACAATATTATAGAATAATTAAATACAATGTAAAGTATGACGCCTCTTTATTATACTTTGGGAAAGTGGTGCCTAAGCTAGGCTTAACACATGTATTTCAGGAAGCCAGGTCTCCGCTCTTTGGTGGTGATTACAATACCTTATTCATGTACACGTACCATATTTTTAAGAATTATATAATGTACCTTCTTTTTTATCTATTTTAGAATTGTGGAAAGTATAAAAATTTATTAGTATATGTATATATATTTCAGATGATAAAGAACGCATGCTGTCGATTGTTGGTCACCTGCAGCCAGAGAAACGAGTGGACATAGCTGTTGACATCTTGCTACCAGGTCATAAGAAGAATATTGTACATGGTGCTCTGTTCTTGCAAGACAACCTCGTCAAGAGTGACTACGGTCTTTCTAAAGAGAACTTTAACTACTTCATCGTAAGTATTTATTAATATTTTTTATGGGTATTTATATAGTACTCACCTGGTTGGATTGAATAAATATATTAAAGAAATGATAAAAATTCATAAATATACATTAAATATAGTAAAATAAATAAATAAATAAATATATAATAAATAAATAAAGCTTTCAAAAATAATTTTAGTACCTACCAACTTTTCTTGTATAATTCTTCCAGGGTTGACTGGTAGAGGTATATATACTGGTTTACTATGGCATTCTTTAGGCATTAATTAAGTCAACCCATTATAACCCTTAGTTGAAGGTGTATCACAATAGGGTTTAAATAAATAAAAACCCAACCAGATGGAAGCTCTCGACAGGGGAAACCAAACTGCCAAGAATTAGGGGAAAGGGAAAGAAACCGGCGGACAATTTATTAATATAATTATTACTACTTTTAATATCGGGGAGAATTTGAATATTTAGAGGACATGTGAAATCCATTAATATGAAATTGGGAAGCATGGTGGACACCACTCTTCTCTAAAAGTCATGTAAATAATGAGAAGCTAGCTTTTTTCCTTTTTAAGTAAAATGAATTGAAACACGTGGTGGGAGAAGGAGTCTCAGGCATCCTCAAAATTAGAGAATCAAAAAGTACTGTGTGAGAATGATTACGACAACAACTACATTAAAGTGAAATGTTTTAATGCAACCTATATTCAATTTACAGAATGCCCTAAAGAACGATCTGAATAATCTCAAAACACGCATCAAAGACCTCGGAGACAAAAACAGCGAAGAATTCAAACGAATGATGGACCGTATCCAACCAACGTATAAGAGATTAGAGCAGTCTTACAAGGACGACTTGGAAAAAATTGTTCATGAGGTCACTAACGATGAAACTCTGAAGGAAATTTCGGAAGCTCTGTAAGTAGTCATAATTTACTCGACTATCAGAAACTACTAGATCATTATATTAGATATTATATATGATGATTGTAGCATACCTTTACCTGGTCCGTTCTTAATAGCGGCTGTATAAAATGTGTAAATAAATGACGCATGTGAGAAAGTACTTTCACTAAATAATTGAAAAAAATTATATAAAAGACTTATATATAATAAATATATAGCGCTCACAAAAACAAATATAGATTAGTAAATAAGGGTTTAGGTTTATGAAAATTTTAAATAACAGTTTTGCTTAATTTTAAGATATCTTTAAATATCTAGCACCAAAAACAACACACACCCCAATACAGGTATATTGAATTACTCTTTGGGGTTGTTTCACCACTAATTTATGAAACAATCTTATTCATAAATATTTTTTGATTATTTTTTTTATAAAATTCTCATCTACTAATCGAATTGCTACTTTTAGAATATTATGTCTTATGAGTTGATTCTTATATTGAGATATCTTCATCCTTATCAGCCTAAGACCAAATTAGTGTTTCGTAAGTTAGGGTGACAATTCAGGACACAGGTCACTCGTAAACGGATGATGTGGACCATCTACATATTTCCACGATTAAAAATCGACATATCTACAGACTAGAGGTCCAAGATGAAGTTTTCTTCACCATACAAAGTAGCAGGATTATGCTGCTATTTTACTCTGGTATTTAAGGAATGCTAATTGTTAGATTTTATTAAATTTATTTTGTAACAAGCACAATCCTGCAATTCAGCGGTTAAAAATATAATAACAGATTATAGATATTTTTATAAGCAGTACTTGATACATTTTCTAACAGTAGTAGCGTTATGTCTGAAAACACGGTCTGCGATTTTACTATCGTAGGTTGCGTTTGTTTAGATAGATTGATTAATTATATCTTATGTCTTCAGGCATTACGTCACTCATTTCTTGGCAAAGGTAATCGACGACATACTGAAAGTTACAAAACCAATGATGGACAAAATCACAGATGCTATTGGCAATATTGCAGAGAAGATCAAGGAAATGTATGTTAAACAGGTTAGTATAATTTGTTTTCTGTAAAATCGTATGATTTATGAAAAGTATTTCCTGTGATAGTGTGTCAAAAATATTTTCTATGTCGAATTCTTCGACATTTTTCAACGCGGTCCAGATTTACCCAAAATCTAAAATATAAATTAGCACATAAAACACGTTAAAATTCAATTCCATTTTACTGCCTTACTTAAAAGAAAATTGTTTCAATATAAAATGTAAAGAGGTTTAATGACAACTGCATATTTGTTATATGAATGAGCTTGAATTGAATTGAAATTTCAACAAAACTAATGGCTCATTTCTAAACATTACACTACTCTGTCACATACACTGGCGTTACGGTTAATGAAAGAGTCGCTAATCTCCACACCAGTATCATATCCATTCATACATACTATACATTCACCGGAAATATTATTTTGACATAGTATATAACCAGCTGCATATTTTTAACGATCTGCTTTCCCTTCCTTTAAATGTTCAACGGTGCAAGTGACGTACTAAGAAGAAATTATTTTTTTATCCTTTGCCACCTCTTTTTAAAATTTTCTTCAGAACATCTGAAAGAATCAGGAGAACTGTTGTTTTTTCGGTTGTTTTAGGTATACCACTTTTTGTACCAATATATGTTTTCGTAAAACTAACAAGGTAACTGTGGGTAAATTTTCAATAATATATCAAAAATGTATGTAATTTCCAGTTGGAGCCCCAAATTAAGGAAATGTATGAAAATGTTTCTGCAATTATCGGCGAATTCTTCGAAGGTTTGATCGACATGGCTGCACACTTCTCGGCTCTTATTATGGACTTCTTCGAACGCCATAAGCCTGAAATCGAAGAACTTACCAACACACTCACTGAGATCTTCAAAGGTCTGTCATTATTTCAACATCTTTATTGAAATTAATATATTTTTGAAGTGAAAACTTCTTTAGCATCGTTGTGATATGAAACTCTATGAAACGGAAAAGTGGCACTAAAAAGAGACAAAAATATATATCTATAGGATTAAGCCTACGAGAGAATGAGATAGAATACAGGATACAGTATTCTAATTATCCTACTCCTGATGCTCTGCATTCATCTTGTACTCTCGAAGTTTAGTTTTCTGAAGATTTCACCACTACGTCTTTATGTATTTTATGAAACTTATTTTACAGATTTGACAAGACTTTTGGTAGCACAGCTTAAGGAATGGCGCGTTAAAGCTATGCAGATAATCAAAGATATTAGTGAACAAATAAGTGATCTGCCTATCATCAATGTCCTTAAGGAGAAAGTAAGACCTTTTTAACTGTCATAATTATCAATGAAAGTAACTTAGTAACTCAGCTCGAATAATTTTTTAATCAATCCTTACATAGTTTTTGGATTAACTTTAACTTAGCTTGTAACAATTACGGATTAGTAAGCTGAAGTGGCAATGAGCCGGCCATATAGCTCGAAGAACCGATAACCGATGAGAAAGAAAAGTTCTCGAGTGGCAGCCTGGTACCGGTAGTCGATGTGTAGGGTAGCCCCCACTAGATGGAGTGACGACCTAGTAAGATTTGCAAGAAGTTTATACATGGTAGAACCATGCTGCAGCTATATTAGTTGTATAGTTGTAGCACGAATGGGTCGGCTCGAGCGGGGAAGGACCACGCTCTCACAGAATACCAGCGTAAAATGGCAGCTTGACACTGTTGTGTTTCGTGTGGTGAGTGTAGAGAACCGGAGACCCATTTTATTGGAAAAGAGGCATTTCATCTTAGTCCTCACGGGTGACGACGCATATGCATTTTGATTCTTTATTGAGGATAAATGTAGATGTCTATGGGTCACAGCAACTACTTATCATCAGGTGGACTGTGTGCTCGTTTGTCACTCTATCCTATAAAAAAGTCGATGGATGCTGGTGGCTCAGGACAGTGCCTGTGACATTCCTTGTGGGAAGTATATGTTTAGCATTTGACTTGTGGAGGTTTATGTATGAAGATTTTATAACAATTATAACATTCAAGTTATGCACCCTCTTTCAGAATAATGGTCGGTTTTAAGTATTTTCTGAAAATTCATAGATTCTCATAATGTTGTCCTTAATATGTAATAAATTTGGTAAAGTTTTATTAGTATCACCGGGGTATTTTGGGCCTAGCCAAGATGATACACTGCAATCGTTAAACTAATACAAAACGCTAAAATGAATGAAATTAAACTATAAGTCTCGTTGATGTCACGTGATTTAACATTGAAATATTTAATTCCCATTTATTTGTATCGTTTTCCATTAGGGTTAACTAATTTTAGAATGTAAACTTGGCTAATCACGCTTTTATATTTCTACTGATCATAAATTTGAAAGTTGTGAATTTAAGACAATAAAGTGAAAATAATATTTATTGTTAGGTTACAATTCTCACATTTAGGAAATAAGAGTTCCTTCTAATGTACCCGGAACTCTTGTTTTCTAAATATCCAGCATCTTCTTCAATAGTTGACTGTTTAATATTTCATATGATTTTCTTTTTTCTATAGTGGCAAGAAATCGCAATCCCAGAACAGGCTTTAGGTCTACTGAATGAAGCCCACAATGCAATCCGTCAAATATTGCCTACAGAAGAAACCAAACAATTCGCTGATGAACTCTTCCGTTACATTTCAAAGGTAATCAAATATCTTTTCAACTATTTCAAAATCGTTAATAACGCAAATTATATTGGGATTCTAAATCTTAAATATTAAAATCTAGGGAAGTTATAGATTTGAAAGATAATAGATTTATTATTTTCGTCCTTACAGAAACTTCAACAACAGAAGGTAGATGAAGCGGCTGCACTGCGTGTATTGTACGAGAAATTCTCCATGGCTGTGACCTCCATGGTTCAATTCATCCGCACCAACCTCAACGATATGGGAATATCTACAATCCCCAACTTCAATTTCGTAAGTATCTATTATTTACTATAGACTAGAATTTTTTTAATTAAAATAATTTTGCTTATTTTAAAAGTTTGACGAATATTTTTTTTATATTTGCTTATTTTTATACACAATCGTTATGTGGTATATTCAATTTTTTATATATTCTAATGTTAAAATTGTCTTATAATGACATATTTAAAGTTATTCAAGTAATAATAACTATAAAGTCGTAGCTTGTTTGGATTTAGGACTAACACATATGCCATTGTTTACCGTATGTATAATCTTAATGTTACCCTATAAAGTAATTAGTGTATTTTCATTATTTCTCCAGTTTTCTTTGTCACCAAGCTTTGGTCCAATATCAACTCCTACATTCGGTGGAAGTGCATCATTCAGTTTTATCAACCAACTGCTACAAGGGGATGTACCCGATCCGATCGCATTTATCCGCGCCTACAGACCACGTTCTATCAATCCATTCGACGAAATGCCGGCTAAACGTAAGTTTTTATTAATTTAATTAAGTTTGATTTTAGAAATATCATTTTACAGTTTGAGTGCCAAGGTCCGCCATTATTAAAACGTTAAAGCTTATTTTATCGTAACTAAAATACTGGTTTTATTCTTTCTTTATGATCAGTCATCTTCGAAACAAGAACACAAAATTTTGCAACTTTATCGCTACTTCTCGTCTCCAGTTCAATTATTTTAAATCAGTCCAGAAATAATTTCACTCGCAAAATACTAGACTAGAACTGTATCTAGTTGTAGTATGAATGATTCTATGATCCACATAGTATATATTTATATACATATTAATTTTTGCAACATAATATGACGATACGTTTCCAAACTTTTTTGGAGTTAAACATCTTTATTAACGTAGTGGAGAAATTTAGTACGGTTTAGTAGTATTAAAAATCAAAAAAGTCATAGTCAGTTTTCTTTTAACGTTTCACCGCCGTGGCTGCACGAGTATACTATTATTTTACCTAGGTACTTATATTAACCTACTAACGTAAAATCTATACAAATAAATAAAATTGAAGTGTTTGTTTGTAATGTCAAAATAACAGCTTTTTACTAAATCCATATGAAAGTATATACGATACTTATAACATAAACACATTTTTTAAAATTTTTGTCTATCCGTCTGTCTGTTTGTTCCGGCTAATCTCTGAAACGGCTGGACTGATTTTGACGGGACTTTCACTGGTAGATATCTAATATTATAAGGAGTAACTTGGGCTACTTTTATTTTAGAAAAGCATTTAGAGTTCTGCGCAAAAAAATTAAAACCAAATTACACGCGGATACAAAAACTAGTATAAAATAAAAAAAAATGATACGTCGTAAAGAATTTTCACTTCGTACGTGTGTGTAACAATTACACGCACAATTTTTTTAAATATATGTAAGTCTGTATATGTAACCTTTAGGACATTTGATTTTGCTTAATCTTTATAATATTTAAAAATACCTATTAAAATTTTTAAAATATGCCAAAATGTTTCTTTTCCTTCAGAGGATCAACCATTACTCGATTAACTTTTAAAGACTTGGAAATATTTCATATAATCTGTGCCACTCTTATTGCATACAATGATTCGAGCGTTAGTTTTTATTTTGGTACGATATAAGACAAACGGATATTCAATTTATAAGAGAGACCATTCAAAAAATTGTAAAAACTTTAGTAACCAATAGATAACCATATTGAATATCATTCTAAAGATTTTTTTTGTTATTAATAATATATTAATATTCTCCAAACCGAGTTTCGGTTCGATCACGGTAGTCAATCTCAACAAAGACTCGCCATCGGTGCTGGACAGGATTACAATGCCCGTGTGCATGCGCATGCACTGGTGCATTCCCTATTCCTCCACTCGCATAGTCCGATGGTAATACGACACGACCGGAGAGAGATTAGACGCAGGAAAAAAGGATTTACATGCTTTCCGTGGCGCGGGGTTTGAAAAACTGCCAACGTTCTACATTCGGGTTGCCACTGAGAGTTTCTTGGGAAAAAAACCAAACCAGATCAATAAATAAAATTTTTATTTCGGTAATCTTGTTAACAACACAATACTGACACTTCCCAGTGAGTAATCAGGGTATACTCGTGTTGGGAATGACCCGCTACTTTTCTTAAGGATTATAAAAATGTAAGATTACAAAAAGTTTAACCTCTAGAAAAATGTGTATGTTAAGGAGTGTGTGAATATGAGTGTAGGAGTGTTGTTGTGTGTATGATGTGGGGGTGTGTGTATGTGCTGGTGGATGAAGAAATTATAAGTAAGAAGACTAGTTGCCTTGCAAAATAAAATTTTAGGAATCAAATATGAAAGACGGAATACTGTTACACTATTACCTGTAAATGTATAAAATGTTGGTATAGATTTGGTTGGTTGGTTTTTTCATCTGATATCGAACTCTCTTGAGTTTTTACTACCACTACACCAAAAAGGAAGTTTTTATTATTCAATCAACTTCAAGTCTAAGTACTATTTTCAGTCCGAGCGGTAGTTGTGAACGGACAACACATCTTCACCTTCGACGGCCGTCATCTGACATTCCCTGGCACTTGCCGCTACGTGTTGGCCCACGACTACGTCGACCGCAACTTTACGCTGATTATACAACTGCAAAATGGTGCACCAAAAGCAATCACACTGGAAGACAAGAATGGCGTAACCATCGAGATTAAGGAGAACGGACAAGTGAGCATTTAACTGATTCATTTTTTTTAAATTAAATATGGTTGGAAATCGAGCTCACGGCACACCTGATGATAAGTTGATGCTGTGACACAATAGAAATCTTTTTTTTTGGCTCGTTTAGCACCCTTAGCCTATAAAAACTGCCTAAGTTGCCAAGCTTGGCATTCTATCTTAGTCCTCACGGGTGACGACGAGTCTGCGTTTTGATTCTTTATTGAGGATAAATGTGCATGTTTATGGGTCACAGCGACCACTTATCATCAGGTGGACTGTGTGCTCGTTTGTGTCACCCTATCCTATAAAAAAGGAGAGTTTTCGACGAGGGATAAGGTGTTTACCTCACTGATTTTTTTCAACGATTACCATCCAATGCTGTAATATGTTCAATACTGTGTCCAATACTATAATGGGACCCGTTAAGACACTCAAACCCTTATTTTCCATTATTATCAGGTGGCATTGAATGGAGCTAATCACGGATATCCAGTTATCGAGAAAGATTCCTTCGCCTTCCGTCAGACAAACGGCAACCTTGGATTGGGTTCGCTTTACGGAGTGATGGTCTTCTGCTACGGAAAACTTCAGGTTAGAATTTAATCGAGCGTTTAAACATTTTTGCCAGCATCTTCCTGTTTGTTTAAATCAGCAATATAAATTAATTTATAACGATTTTATGTATATTCAAATTAAATCAGTTATTTTATTTTGATTTCTATTAATTTAAAATATGAACCATTTCAATACATCAACACCATAATATTAAAAATGTATAAATTTTATTACTTTTACAATTAATAAATTTATGGATTTTATCGCGTATGTAAATAGTTTTTTTTTCTTAATTAATTTAAGAAAAACAATTTATATTTTTAAATTCATAAGCTGACCTTGGCGGGAATTACAAATACGTTAAGGCCGGCCACATACATACGGAATTCCGTTTCGATATTCCGATTCGGGATTCCGAGCGCAGCAAGTCCATATAAAATCTATGACCCGCCACACACGTACGGTAGTTTTCCGTTCGATATTTTGCGGGCAAAACGGGATTACGTTTGTTTGTGGCCGGCCATTCGGAATTCCGAAACGGAATCTCGAAACGGAATTCCGTATGTATATAGCCGGCCTTAATCAGTTAAAATTAAACGCGATAAAATGCGTAAAAATAGTTTTACTCAATGTCTGGTATTCGTGTGAATATAGGATTAGTTATTACATACAATTTTTGAAGTCTGTTTATAGAAATGAATATAACAATTGACGCGAATTGAATAAACTATATCGACATAAAATTTAAACACCTTACAAAATACAGAGTAACATCATGATAAATTTATTGTTAGTGCAGTATCCTGTTCATTAAAGTAATAAATGTGCTAGTTTCAGTTCAAAGTTTTAGTTCAGAAATTATTCCAAAGATAATTATATGTTTTTTTTTTGCTTTTGTATTCTTGCACTCTAGTTCTCCAGGCACGACTAGTTGAATGAACATTAATTGCTTTCAATTAACTTGATAATTTCATTTATAAAGACTATTTAGTACAGATTTTAATTTGTTTTTAAGTAACTGACGCAGCTTTGTTTAATGAAAAAGATAAATAGATAATCTTCCAACATACAGGTGTGCTACATAGAAGTAAACGGATTCTACCTCGGTAAGCTTCGAGGTCTTCTCGGAGACGGCAACAACGAGCCCTACGACGACTTCAGAATGCCCAACGGAAAGGTAGTAATGTTCTTGATTAATTTTATAAAAACCGATTATTACATGATCAGTTTGAACAAAATTACAACAAGCCATATCATTAAACAGTAATTAAAAAAAAAGCTAGACTGTGTAAAAATGTTTAGTGATAATTTAAAATTTTTGTACAACCGACTTCAATATAAATTATTAAGAATAACTCAAAAACTTTTAGTTAGATCTTGATCAAATTTACATGGGACCACATGTAAAGCATCAGTTTTCAAATAAAAGAAGAATCATAGAAATCGGTTTACCCAGATAAAAGTTATGAGGTAACACACATTAAAAAAGCACAGTCGAATTGAGTACAGTCTCCTTCTTGAAATCTGAAGAAAAGAGAAAAATGTGTAGCCAATGTTACTCCCACAATTATGACGTCTAACGACACCTTAAATGTTAAAATCCATCAAGCCATTAAGGCTACAGAGCTTATCAAAGAAACAGACATACATACTTACATACTCCCGAAAAACATTACCCACCTTTCGGGGCAGTCGGGTAAAACTTAATATGAAATACAATGTTACCGTTAGTGGTAGTGTAAGAATATTCACTAACCTATATCATCCCGTGGGTGTCGTAAGAATTGACAGAGGGAAACTGGAACAGGAGATAGGCAGCAGCGTGTTTCTAGTAACGATTAAAAATTAAAAAAAAAATGCGATTGTTGCTTTGCAACTATGTTGAATATTCCCCCTATGAGGCAAACTATTGGGGAGACTTACGTCACCGGTGGATTTTGATAGTAGTTGTAATGGTAACAACGCTTGAGATCCAAATTAAAGTGTATGCTGCAGCTATATTAATAGTATAGTGTAGCACGAATGGGTCGGCATGACCGAGGAAGGACTACGCTCTCACAGAATACCAGCGTTAAATAGCAGCTTATCGCTGCTGTGTTTCGTATGGTGAGTGTAGAGTACCGAGGGGTACTTTTTTAATGGAAACGAAGCATTCTATCTTATTCCTCACGGCTGACAAACGCATCTGCATTTTAATTCGCAAACGGAGATAGATGTAGATGTCTATGGGCCACAGCAAACACTTACCATCAGGTGGACTGTGTGCTCGTTTGTCACCCTTATTCTATAAAAAAAAATCAACTATTCAACATAGTACATTAAAAAAATATTCCAATGTATTCTTCTAATGTATTATTCTAATGTATTATTATTAAATTATTCTAATGTATTATTATTAAATTATTCTAATGTATTATTATTATTATTATTAAATTTTCACATGTAGATTTCCACCTCGGAATCTGATTTCGGCAACGCGTACCGTCTCTCTGGCAGCTGTGCGGCCGCGAAGACTCCTGAACACTCTCATCACCAGCTTCACCACATGTCACTACCACCAGCGTGTGAGATGGTCTTCGGAGGAAGCTCGCCTTTGCGTCCACTGTCTTTGGCCATGGATATTGCACCATTCAGGTACTACTTGATACCAAGACATAATGTAACTTGATATTTAGGTTTCTAAAATCTATCCGACTGATTCGTTGGCCTGGCCTGATTCCGTGTTCGAATCCCGGATCAGGCTAAATTCAGTTTTAGGGGTTTCTATCATGAAATTCTCAGTAGCAGCCTGGAAGTCGCGAAGTCGGTGGCGTTTCACCCCCGTGCCTCGGAAAGCACGTGAAGCCGCTGGCCCTGCGCCTGATCTCTTTCCAGTCTTGTTGGATTACTGTCTCATCGGACTATGAGAGTGAGGGAATAGAGAGTGCACCTGTGCTTGCGCATACACTTGGGCACTGTAATCGTGTCCTGCGTAGATCGTGAGTCTCTTTTGAGACTGACTACCGTACCACATAATAATACTTTATTAATTAAATTCTTTACAGACAAGCCTGCATCCACGCAGCATCCGGTGAATCCGCTCAGGCAATACACCAAGCCTGTGACCTTGGCCGTGGTTACGCGGCGTTGGCCCTGACCGGAATGCTTCCAGCCGTGATGCCAGCACGTTGTGTCTCCTGCACTGATTCCGACAAGGAGAGGGAGGTTGGCGATACCTACGAACTGAAGCTGCCAGCGAAACAGGCTGACATTGTAGTTGTTGTTGAAACAACAGTGGTAAGTTTGATATGCTATTTGTTGCCTTAAATTTTATTTTTGAAGAGAAAACATGTTTAGACACGTCAGGAGGGAAAAGCACTGAACTCGCGTAACCGTCACGCTCAGATATATACATATATACAGACATACGTATACATATATGTATGTATGTATTTATATATGTTTGGGAAGCTAAGAACTTTTCACTTTTAACGTGCAGTCCTACGACTGCACCAGTGCTTGCATACACTAGTGCACTGTATTCCTGTGTTCCGTTTAGACTCGCCGCCTGTGACATTATTATTATAAAAAACACTTTCGCATCGGTGTTTTTATTACCATTTTTTCACATGTTTCTACCTTTTTTCAAAGGGCAATGAAAAAACATTCAAGGAGCTGGTTGTGCCTCTCGTTTCACAACTGGTCGACAACCTAAAGAGCAAGCGCATCGGCGATATCAAAGTATACCTGGTCGGCATCACCGCCAAATATCCTCATCCCATTGTCTACGACTCCGATCGTAAGTACAGTCTTGTTTAGTTTTATTTATTTTCTATTGAAACAAAACCAGGTTGTACATTTAGCAATTTAAATAAACATGTTTCAGAAATGTTATGTTAAATAGAATACTTTATAGATTTATATTTTTAATGCTGCTATCTTTCGTGTGGTGAGTGTAGAGAACCGGACACCCTTTTTACTGAGAACGAGGCATCACAACTTATTCCTTAGGAGTGACAACGCATCTGCATTTCGATTCTTAATTAAAGATGGAGGTGCCTATGGGCCACAGCATCCACTTTCTATCAGGTGGAGTTTGTACTCGGTTGTCACCGTTGTACTATAAAAAAAAAACTGTTATTATTTTAAAACTTTATGCTTGCCAAATATTTATGAGAAGTTCATTCGTCGTATTCTAGGCAAAACGGTCCACTCATGGCCAACAGCTCTGTGTCTGTTTGTGTTATATTGTATTTGTGTTTGTCTAATTTAGGTTTTTCTATGCACAATATTGCCGTCGCAAATTTCTATGAAATTAGATAATTCAGGTGCAGAATATACGAGTACATAGGTGAGACGGGGAATCTATTCCATTTTAGTATATTCTAATCCTAACGATCCTCGTGGTGGGGGAAGAGTTTAGTAATATAGAGCTCCACTATGCAGAGTATGCACAACATCATCATTATTATCATTACAGCCCTTCACAAGTCCACTACTGAACACATGCATCCCTTAAGGAACGTCAATAATACTGTCCTGAACCACCTGCATCTATCGACTTCCTGCATCTCTTACCAGGTCGTCACTGCATCTAGTAGGAGGTTGCTCTACATTTCGCCTATCGGTACGAGGCTGCCATTCAAGAACTTTCTTTCGCATCGGTTGTCAGTTCATTGAACTATCACCGGTCCATAACATATATAGAGTATGCGCATAATTTTTCTTTAAATTAAACTGTGTATATTTCTTGCAGTTAAACTAAAGACAGCCAAAGTACAGTTCGATGACGAGAGCCGTTACGACAGAATCGAGACGGTGAGCACTGGTATCGACAAGATCGACACCTTTGAAGGAACAGTGATCCATATGGTTGAATACATTAGAAGAACTCTGGGTATGCTTTTTTTTTAATAAAACGTCACTTCCACACTAGATTTTTTATCCTATACCGTGGGGGCAGTTTACATATATAAATTTCACATGGACAAACATCCAGACACGCATCAATTATTTGTAGGCTATAAAAATACTTGTCCCGTGCGTGATTCGAACCCGCGGCTCTTAGCGCTGCAACTTATTGCTAAGCCACTGTGCCACGGAGGCGTCACGTTTGTGATTATTGTTTTCATCACATAATGTTTTTTTACTGCCATCAGGGCGAGGCTACTTAGCAACGCAAGGCGGGGGAAGTTAATTTGTTCGGAAATGTAAAAGTAAATGTTTCTTTCCAAAATAGTGTTTTATATTAACTGGCGATATATTGAAAATGGGCCAAATTAAAAGTACCTTTTACCCACGAGCGTGTATGCGTAGGTAGGTATGTCAGGATCGTGCCAAATAATAATAATAATAATATTTTTTATTGCTCAAAACAATACAATTTAAACTAAATGGTGACAGGAGTATTAAGCTATGGAGCCTGTGACAGGGGGCACCGCTCTTTCTTAAGTTTATAATTACATATCATGAAGCTGATAGTTTTAAAGCAGTCTTACAATAAAATTAAAACTTTACACAGTTCATATATAAAAAGATATGTAAAAAGAAAAGAAAAAAACATAAAATTAAACTTAAATAAATGGAAGTCCATAGTCTCCGCCTACGCCTACGGGTGACAGGCGTGAGTGTTTATGTAACAGAAACAGAAACTTTTTTATTCAATATAGATTATAAATAATACTTATTGAAGGTCACACTTTTGTTTGATTACCACTGGTTCGGAAAAAACCTCTGTCCTGGGAAGAACCAGCAAGAAACCCAGCGGGACTTTTTTTAAATAACAGCTTACAATCATGATGTTACACAAATTAACAACACAACAAATTAGAAATAGCTTGGTAGCGATCACCTCATTTCCAGGGGTTATTATCATCCATAAATTCCTTAATATTATAATAACCCTTTTTATACAAACTTAGTTTAATAAAGTTTTTGAACTTTGAAAATAAAAACTGGTCTTCCTAAAAAAAGTACGCACATTCCTTATAGAGAAAAAGTGTTAAAAATGTGCAAAAATATTTTACGTATTTACACACTCTAGACACCAATAAACCTTTTATTTAGAGACTGTGAGGCATTGCATTTCAGTCCTCGGGAGATACACAACTTCTTTGTTTGAAGTTGACTGCAGTTGTCCATTGACAGCGATCACTTACCATCAGGTGAATTCTAAATTCGTTTGTCACTTAAGTTTTATATAAAAAAAATTCAGCGACTCATCAAACTATGATAGGGTATATGATGTCTAATAGAGAGTGCACGTGTGATTGCACATGCACTCGGGCACTATAATCCTGTACTGCTCAGATGTCTGGTCTTCGTTGAGACTGACCGTCATGACCGAAATTCGGTCTGGACATAATACATTAAGTTAATTTTTAATGGGCAACCAACGGGACCCTTTGACTAAGCCTCCGTCTGTACCGTCCGTCTGTCTGTCAGCGGGCTGTATCTCATGATCCGTAATAGGTAGACAGTTAAAATTTTCTGTCACCGCTATAACACAAATAATAAAGTAAAGAGAGCTCTGCTACTAGAAACGTGTGTGATGGTACGAAACGCTTAATGCGCGAGTCCGACTTGCACCTGGCCGGTTTTATTTAATATTGTTTATTTCGTAGGAATTACCAACGTTATGGGAGGCTACAAGGGCCTGATCGATTTGCCTCTACGACCTGGCGCTGTCAAGCACACCATCTCGGTAGTTTCAGATCACTGCCAGAGGCAGGACTTAGTGGTAAGTATCCTATATAGCTTTTAGTCATCGATCACTTGTAAAAAACTAGATACACAATCAGTGACAAAAATGTCCTTACCGAATGAGCGCCCACTGGAACATTTGGGTGCGCTTTTAATTTGGTACGTAGCTGTGTGAAAACAAATTTTGGCAAGGCATTTAAGGTTGAATTTACATTAATGTATATTTATTTCAAATAAAATTACGTCAAAACAATTTAGACAGTTTTTAGAGAACTTTTGCATGGGATTGTGTATTTCGTTTCTTATTAGTGATCGATGCCTTTAGTAGATTATTTGGTAGTGCAGTGCACATATTAATATATATATGTAACAAGGTTCTGTGGCATAGCAAATGGAAAGGGGGAGGATGACTCAGGGTAGCAGATTTTAAGAAAGAAAGAAAGAGACGTTTATTTGGAACATACTGACAAATATTGACAGAAAGTATATTTATACATATAAATAATATTGACGTGTCTGTTTGTAGTATTGAATGAATGCTTTTGAGACTTAAATAACTTTATTTTTTATTTTTGTCTGTCTGTCTGTCCGGAGAACCGATTGTGATGAAACTTTACAAACGGATGGATAAATGCCAGTAAGGGTCTAGACTATATTTTTTCCGAAAAATACTTTGTGATTTAAAAGAAATCTAAAAATTGATAAAAAAAATTGTAAATGATTTTTGATTTTCTTTAATCTAAATAACACAAAATTAATAGCATATATTCATCTACGACATGAATTTCAATTTATTTTGTTTTGTCAGCTTTCAGCATTGCGATCGCTCGTCTACGGAACCATTTACAAGCAGAATGCGCACACGCACTCTATCATCGCGAAAACACCTGAACTGAGCAATGCAGATGCAAAACTTAAAGAGGCTGCTGGTAAGTTATTTTGTCACCATCTTCATTAATTTATAGAGATGTTTTAACTTTTAGTGCTACTCCTGGTTGTTAGTCTTCGTATTTCATATGTGCTAATAATTGGTGAGAGCCTCTTAATGATGAAAGTTATATGTTATTATATTAATACCACAAAAGTATATAATAATGACATGTCATCTTTATAACTAATCGAAAATTTCTCATATGATGTAATAATAACTTCAAAAATCACCAGCAATAAATTACGCATACTTGGAATAGGAAGCAACGCTCCGTAAGTGAAACATCAGGCACTAGGATTACCAATTCGCTTGCCAAGCGTTACAAAAACGACTGATCTTTAAAATTTTTAGAACTTAATGCCCTAAATCACACAGCTTTCACAGTTTTTTTTATAAGAATTAAATATGAAAGTAACATAAGTCCACCTGATAGCTACTGTGGCTCATGGACACTTGCAACTTTAAACATGGAAGGCCACGGTTGCATCACCAACTCGAAGGACAAAGGTGGATTACTATTCTGGCTTTCTATATCTCTCAGACCAGTGCACACACTGCTATTTGACGACAGAAATAAGAAAGAGAGTGGTACCTACCCAGACGGAAGCCTATGCTGGAAAGGAGTTTTACCACTAATAGATGCCATACGTGTTCCCGTTTATCGTCAAGTTTGCAACGCGCTTAAAGCGGCCACATGGTCTCATATAATTTTAATCAAGATCTGAAATGTAGTTTTTGAGTTATCCTTAGTAAGGCGTATTTAATTGACTTCGATGTTCTCACAATTTTACCACCAGTTAAATGTTTCAATTTCCGAATACAGTCAAGTTTAACCAAACCAACCCTTGCCATTTAGAATAAATTCGTTTAATATGGTAAAAAAAATCTTATATACGTCGTCCAATATATGATATTATATTTTATATAGATGATATACCTGCTCCTTTGCCGCTATCTCTCGCGTGAGATCAGATCCGACTAAATCACCAGAATTAAAATGACCTGATGAACACCAGTGAACTGTATTAAACACCGCCTACTTTATGGAAAAATTTCCGGCAAACGCAAACTGTGTAAAGGCTTCCCTATAGTATATTAACACTTTCACTGTCCCCTTTTCAGACACAATAGTAAGATAATAGCAATGACCTATATATAGTGCACTGGACAGCGAAAGGGTAAATAACATTAAACATCTGCTTCGGCTTTAAATCAAAACTAATCATGAATTATATTCTTTATAGGATACACGAAGCAGTCTATTCTAATGTGCGGCGACAAGAAGATGAAGGACATGGAAGCTCTCAGAGCCACTTTTGGAACACAAGATGAATGCATCAACTTTGTACAATCGGTGAGTTTTAATGCATAATTGTTATTTTCTGCCGACTTCCAAAAAGGAGACGGTACTCAATTCGACGCGTATGTTTTTTTTATGTGTGGTACCTCATAACTTTTTACTGGGTCAACCGATTTTGATGATTCTTTTTTTATATGAAAGCTGATACTTCTCGTGTGGTCTCATATGAATTTGATCAAGGTCAGACTAATAGTTTTTGAGTTATTTGAGTTATTCTTAATAACTTATATTGAAGTCGTCTGTACAAATTTTTTTATTTTAAATTATAATTAAGGAGTGTTAGACTGGATGCTTTTCTGAAAAGCAGTAAAAAATAAACTTCTTTCAAAGTCCACTGCTGAACATGGCCCTCCCCAGCTGGCATCATGAGGGAGATATTGCCATAGTTGCCACGCTTTGCAGGTGAGTTAGCAGCCGCAGTGTTTTATTTTTTAGTTGTTATGATGAAGGCGCAGCTGCTTATCTCAAGGTATGTTTCCGTCTGTCGTCTCTTACGACACGCCCAAGACAATATGAGATGGATATTCTTAAACCGACACCACACGGATATCATCCCGCAAAACCTTAGCCTTAAGGTGGCTTTTCACTATGGGATATACTATAATATATTACATCCCGAAATATAAATTATATCCCACGATTGGCTTTCACACTGTATGATATATCTTTTAACCAATGTGCGTTCGTCATTGCATTACCCCCTGTACACCGCACACCGTTCTGCGGCGGAACGGTGTGCGGGGTACAGGGGGCGAAATATAATATGAAAATATCGCTCGGTCGATCGAAAAAATATTTATAGTTTGAGATGTAATATATATTATAGCTCAGTGTAAACGGTTCTATTTAAAAGTATGGTGAGCGATATTAATTTATATCTCGAGATGTAATATGTACTATATTATATCTCATAGTGAAAAGCGGGCTTTTTTTAAGATGTTCTATTGTATGAAAGATTAAGTAGGATTTCCACTCTTAGCAAGCGACGTATCTTCTATACATGACTAGTCGTCTCGCATCTATGACGTTGCTACCTGTCGTCGATCGGGGTATTTTAGGTCTGGCATATACGAGATGGTCATCATAGCTGTATATCATATATGTATATATATATATATATATATATATATAATCTGTGGCCCAGTTACGGATTATATTTAAGGCAAACTAGACGCTAGGCAAGGTTACAAAGTTTCATAACCTTTAGACAATTCGTCCAGCGTACTAAGCTCATTCTGCTTAGATCGGACCAAAATTATAATTAATTTAATATTTGAAAAGCTGAAGGTATTCCGGGTAAACTTTGACATCCGTACGTCAATCACCTCACTTCTCCGTGACCATAGGTGATGCAAAGCACCCGTAACGTGGGAAATTGAAAAAAAAATTAAACACACACTAAAATCCGTTATGGAATGTTCGCATAAATATAAGAAATCATTAATTACCTCCATATATAAATTAAAAAATACTCTTTCTATAGACATGTAGAAATTTCAAAGCGCGCCTTGTCTACTTGATTATTCCTACATCATCTTTACTCTCTTATCACATTTTTCATTCACGCCCACCTGTGACATATCCTAATTATTTTGCAACTGTACTATATTATAAATTATAATATAGTCATTGAGTTATATGTACTACGTACTAGAGAAGCCATTCCAAACAAAAATTGTGCCCTACTCTATGTCTTCGCGCATGTGCGGGAGTAGTAGTCGCGCATGAGCGAAGACTTTAATTTGATATAGAATAAGATATTAATATAAAATAAATATAAGAATTTAATATAAAATATCTTAATTTAATCTAAAAATAAAATATAATAATAATTATTATTTTATGGAATTCACAAATCTTCAATTTACGCAATATTTAGTTTGTATGGATTGCACTACAGTTCAGTTGAACATAGTCAATGTTCGGAATGGCTTCTCTAGTACGTAGTACTATGGAGTGTAGAGTAGAAGGAGAACCATCTTATAAGGTGCGAAAGTTGAAAAAGTGTCCCACTATATACTGAAAATAGAGGTTCCAAAACCTACCACAATAGCGCTGGTGTCTGAAAAACTACGATATAAATATAGCTGTTGTAGACGGAGTGAAGTCAGCTGAATTCAAATATTTAAAATAATTCATGACTAGAGTAGTTAGTAAAATGCCAGTATACAAAACCTCAACTATTTACGTAGTACAAAAGCAAACGGATTGGTCGGTCCTTGTTTATTTCTCCATCTTATTCTAATTAATTTTGGCACTTTTTTTTAATTTATCCTATGCTACTGCAGCGCCACCCTAATTGGACGCGTTTTTAGGGACACTTTTCATATACAGAGATGGTCCTCCTTCTACTTTACACTCCATACGTAGTACATATAACTCAATGAATATAGTTTAAGAAATAATTCGAGTTCTGATGTTCGAAATCAGTTTAAACACTATATTAATAAAGGAATACTCGGTAACAACTTTCTTGTTATAACGCACACCAAACATAAATATGTAAAACAGTAAGCAGTTGGAAGTACAAGATAACATTAAAGTAGTGAAATATGAAAACCAACAGCAATACTGCCTGCCTATCATTTTTTTTTATCTTCACGCACAATCCCTGACGGGGTAGCCAGAGAGAACAGATCGCCAAGTGTCACGATCCTTACATACCTCTTTCGCTTCTTTCAGATTCATTATCTTCTTCATACATGCACGTCTAGGTATCCGAGTACTCTTGACCCTACCCTCTTCGAGCAATTTGCTCACATGGTCTTCGAAAGTTAGTCTCTGTCTACCTCGACACCTTTTAATATTAACTTTCGCGCTATATATTTTCTTCACCATTCGGTCTTCACTCATTCGCTCAACGTGCCCAAACCACCGAAGCACGCCCTTATCAATTTTTGTGATAAGGTTATCTTTCAAACCTGCCATATTGCCTGCCTATCATGATATTATATAAGGCAACGTCTCCTCACTATAACTTTCTTTACATGCACGACAGTAAAACTTAGAATTACCGATTCCTTCTGAACGACTGATCTCTGAATGATAGACTAATTCATCTTAGTCGCCTGCACGATACTTACTTTATACTGCTAGAACGAGTAAGATATTACAGTTCTACCCTCATTTATTCGTATTTTCTTTTACTTTCTACCCTAACCCTAACCCTTCCTAACAATAGTTTATTTGCAAAATAAGTATTTATAATATACTAGCTGACCCGGCAAACGTTATTCTGCCCTTTCTGGTTGGTGGCGCGATGAGTTTATTTTCACACACACACACACACACACACTTTTCTATAGATCTATCATACGTATAACTAAATACTCTTAAGAACTAATGGAACCATCAGCAGCCACAATGACAATAAACTAAAAATAAAGGCAAACACACAATCTCTTCCGTTTACTCTTCCGTAATCGGATAAAAAGTTGCCTATATGTTATATTTGGTCCTTTACTGTCTAGATACAAAATTTTATGGAAATCTGTCCAGTACTTTTTGCGTGAATCGTGAACACACAATTTTTCTACAGAATTGTTATATGTATAGAAGATGGCCGCCAGTAAGGCGCTAATGAGATGCTAACCTACGGCGCTTTTGACATTTAATCCGCCTCTGGATGGCCACAGAATTTCTTTCGCCTTTACCATATATAGTCCCCTCCATAAAATAGGTGTAAAGCCATCGGTTATCAGCATCGGGTCAAAATTTTGTGTTTCTTAACAGAATCAAAAACCGGCCGAATGAAATAGGGTCATGGATTTTATTAATTATAATTTTTAAGAATAAAATTCCTTTCCCTTAGGTTGACGGCTTCGTATTCTCTTCAACAAACTACGAAGAAATGAACCCAGGCATGCAGAAGCAGTTCTTGCAGACCGCAGCGGGCGCTATCAGCAAGGAGATGCTGCGAGAGGTGCTCGTGCAAGAATGCACTTGCACTTATGTAAATCCCTTCACAGTACGCTCTATGTGCATCAACAAGGAGAGGAAGGAAGCTGTAAGTATATTTAAAAAAAAATCGCTAAATTGATGTGCTATGTGCACATCAATTTAGCGCAAGCACACATCAAGCAGCCAATGATCTTTTAACTTTTTAAAGCCACGCTGCTACCATGTTACGGTAACAGCATGAATTGGTCTTCTTGACCGGGGTAGGACCACGCTCTCATAAAATATCAGCGTGAAATAGCAGTTTAATGCTACTGTGTCTCGTATGGTGAGTGTATAGAGAACCTTTTTACTGGTAACGATTTTTATTTACAGTTTGTTTATTAATCGAGGATAGATGTAGGTGTCTATCTATGCTCGATTAATAAATGAATCCAGCGTCCACCTACGATCAGGTGGACTGTGTGCTCGTTTATCACCCTTATTAACAAAAAATACAAAGGATTGGTGAGAGTGTTGAAGAGTGTCTTCTTACTCTCTTAGTTCTCTTTCGCTTTGCATGCTTTTCTGACAAAAGTCAGTGCATGTTAAAACTAAATAGACTGTTATTGTATTTTATTGTTAGTTTTCATGCACACGGTGATCTCACACTATTTTTAATTTGAAAAACGAGCGAACATACAACCCATCGAAAAATCCAAGTACGACGAAAAAATTAGGCGCGCCGAGTCGAGGGGGCTTATAAAAACCGTGGCTTAGGCACAAAGTGGAACCCCCATGGCTGGCTTGAGGTTAAAGGCCAGCTGGTATAGGCCTCTCCGAGTGAGCTTGGCGAGTCATATCAATGTGTTTTGAAATGTAGCGAAAACGTTATCCTTTCACCCTGCGTGATGAGTGTTGATTTGGTGAGGTGCCACTCGCCCTGTAGGAAAGCACGAAGCACCTTTCATGAGTAGATAAAGAAGGAAAGGAGTTTCCCTATCTCGAGGAGGAGCTGGAGGGCTCCCAGATCCTCGCGAAGTGTACGTATAGTCGTTTATCCACTCACCATAAATTGTTGAAATTTGTGCTTGGTTGGAGTTCGTTTGAAACTAGTTTCAAATTTCCAACGAACTCTAAACCGTCTTATTACAACAAATACTTCATAATAAGTATTTGGTTTACACTAATACGTTGGCCTAAATTAATATGTTTCAAATTAGTCCCACATGAAGTAATATGCGAACTAAAATATAAAATATGAAATTGCATAGCAAAGGTAAAATTTCGCGAAAACTGTGACTCCGCGGCTAAGGGACTTTATTAATGAGAAAAACTGTGCCAACCATAGCTGACCCTTCCAAAGCCATGAATTAAAGCCAAAACTATCAATAAACCACTTTTGATAACATGGCAGTAAATACTAAAATGTTTATAGATTTATACTCACTATTTACTTTTGTTCGCAGGCTCGCAGACGAAAGTAAACGACGTTGAATCCTCCGCATCAACTGTGATCTACATCATGCCATGCGTACCAAATACTCCTAGTTTTATGTAAATGAGCTCTAACGGAACTTAAGATAAACTCAACTCTTAATTTATTATAACTTACTTTAAAACAGAAACCAAAACAAACATTTCATAATTCAAAATGTAAGATCGTATCGTTCCCGTATCGTAAGATTATAAATAAGCTCTGTTGCAGCTCGTAGACTTTTTATATTAGACCTCCTGTTTTTATGACTAGAAATCTATTTATACCATAATACCATAACATCGAAGAGGTATTAAAGTAATCAAACTCTGTATTAGAATAAAAAATATGTTATTAAATTGTATTTGTTTGATTCTTGTTCCTTAAATCCCATGCCATCATCTTATATATACTCGTAAAAATTAATGTTTGTCTGTCCTTTGTTCTGTGGTAAAACTTTGTCACCTATTTGCTTGTTTTTTTTTTTATAGAAATAGGGTGACAAACGAGCACACAGTCCACCTGATGGTAACTGGTTGCTGAGGCCCATAGACATCTACATCTATTCTCGTTTGCGAATCAAAATGCAGATGCGTTGTCAGCCTTGAGGACTAAGATGAAATGCCTCTTTTACAGTAAAAAGGGTCTCCGGTTCTGTACACTCATCTTACGAAACACAGCAGCATTAAGCTGCTATTTTCGCTGGTATCCTGTGAGAGCGTGGTCCTTCCCCGGTCGAGCCGACCCATTTCTTCTACAACTGTACTATAAATATGGCTGCAGCTTGGCTCTACCACGTAAAAAACACGTTTGTGCTTGCGCGAAGGTTAAAGACAGTAGAATTAACTTACAGTAGGTGGCGCTTACCGTACCGACAAATTTATTTAAAAGTTATAACATCATACTCAACAATATACTTTAACGATATAACTCTTCCAAGTTTAAAACGATATTTCCACAATTATTTCTTCCGTGGCAGCAATGCGCTGGATACCAGCTACTTTATTCTAAAAGTTATTAAAAAAAAAAAAACTAAGTAGAATTGCAAGTGATAATGGACCTCGTTATCAAACTATAGAAACTGAATTCTTTCACTTTGTAAATATAAGAAATCATTACGAGTATGTTAAACAGCAGAAATTTCCTAGTAATTTTTATAAAAGCATGTCAAGCAGCATTGCAAAGTTGAGAGAGCCGAAAGATATAAAGAGAGAGAATATCATTTTATACAAGCTGCATTTCATTCCCGATCATCATTCATCATCACTACTGCCGATCATAAGTCCAATGTTGAACATAGGCTACCCACATCCATCGACTTCATATTTTAGCAGGTCGTCCATTCCATCTAGTCGGAATAGAAGAGAATAGAATGATTTTTATTCAATATTGATTATTACTTAATACTTACTGGAAGTCATTTTCTATTTACCACTGGTTCGGAAAATATGTCTGTCTTAGGAAGAACCAGCAAGAAACACTGCGGGGCTTTTTTTTTAAACATACTTCACTTAACAATAATTTTGTTAGTACAATTTTTAAATGAACTTTCTTAGAACCAGCATGGTGGCGACCTTATACCCAGGGGTTATTTTCATTCATGTATTCCTTGATATTATAATAACCTTTTTTGTACAGTATTCCTTTAATAAAATTGATAAACTTTGAACATGTTCTGGGATTTTGTTGTAAAAACGTATACATTGCCCCATAAATGAATTACAGTGGGAATTGCTCTACACTTACTTTATCTGGTACGACTGCCTCGTTGGTCTAGTGGTTGTAGTAGTGCGACTGCTGATCATGGGTTCGATGCCCGGGTCAGGCTAAAAATCAGTTACTGAGTTTTTCCATCAAGAAATTCTCAGTATCTGCCCGGAGTCAGGAAGTTGGCGGTGTTTCACCCCCGTGCCTCGGAAAGCACGTAGAGCCGTTGGTCCTGCGCCTGATCTCCCTCCGGTCGTGTCGGTTTACCGTCCCATCGGGCTATGAGAGCGTGATGGGGCGGTATTTGCTCGGGTCTGTGGTATCCTGATCTTTAGGAACCAAATGAGTGACCCCAGTAGTGAAGAGGCTCGGGAGCAACTTCTGGTCGAGAGCCTCTTGAAACTGTCGGGCGAGTACAGCGTGACACACCACGAACCCCTTCAGCCAGTAGTGATGCAGCCCGTCGAGCCCCGGACTTTTCCAGTTCGGGGCCCTACGGACCGCCTTAACTACATCATCCGGCGTTATGATGACGGGGTCCATGGGCGTAATATTCGCACACTGACTCGCCACAACTTCCGTCCAACGGCCCTCGCTGTGATTTACGGGCTGTGACCATAGGCCGCGCCAGAATGTGATAGTGTCGACCTGATTCGGTGCTGAGCCCGTTCCACGGACCATTGGCCGCTCCAATGATTCATAGAGCCTTTTCTGATCACTCTGAAAGAGACGATTCTGGTTGAACCGTGGCGACCTCTCGGTATATCGCCGAATCCGCTTCCCCCAAGCAGCGATTCTCTGCTTCAGGTCGTCTATGCACTCCGTCAGTTTTAGCGTTATATCCGGCTAGGACAAATTGATATTTGTCCCAGCAAACGCCATCCTGACGGTGCGCATAATTCTCGGCCTATTATTGCCCGACCTGAAGCTTATCAGACTGCCGATGAGGACACTTGCCTTTACGATACGGTACCTCAATCCTTCTTCTCCAGGCTGGGTTGGCGCTACTTTGTCTAGTAGCGCGTCCAGCCGTGGGAAGTTTGGCGCCAACAATACGGCAAACTGCCAGTGCGGCGCCAAAAAGAATTGAGTCCGTCTCGCACAGGTCCCGGCTGGCTTCCAAATAGGTCACGAGCATTGGGTTGAGAGCGCTCACGACAGCCCGATTCCGCTTGCTTAGGGGTATGCGCGGGAGTCGCGGTCGAATTTTCCGAAGCCTCCTCCAATTTACTCCTCATCTGCTCTAGTTCTTGGGTGCCTGAATCAACCAGAGCGGGGAGATCCATGGCGCCCTCTATATGTGGCTGCTGGTCTGTGGCCTGAGGAGCCGCATCCTCAGCTATAGCCGGTTCGATCGATGAGAAAATAGCCTCATGCCGTAGTCGTTAGAGTTCGGCATCATCAAATATTTTCGAGCGTATGAATTACCGAACTCGGTCTGCCAAGTTTTGCTCTGTGACGGGAACTGATGGCTCAAGCTCAGCAAAAAGGCGATGCATCCGAGCCCAAAACGCTATCCCTCCAGTTTCTTCCCCTTTCGCCCTATAGTACACCCGCAATGCGTTTATGTTCATATTTTTTGTCCAACGCATGCGGCGTACTCCACCAGCGGCGGGTGCCGCTTGCCGAGTCCGAGAGGACCCCGCCGACACCAAGCCGTCTGGTGGGGATAATGGACGCGAGGGGCTGCTAGGTGGTCGTGCAGCACCTCGCGCTCGGCTGGCGGCTCGCATGCTGTCGCGTCCAGTGCAAGCTCCAGACGCGTCCCGGCAACCCCCAGGCAGCGGCCCTATGCGCGTTCTATTTTTATCCATCATCCATTAATTTGGTCGTCAATTAACGGGAGACGCCCAGAACCGGCGCCGTTTATTATTATTATTATGGGGTATTTGTATAGTTTTCTCATCTGGTTGGGCTGTATAAATATATAATTGTAAATGAAAATGATAAACTTACATAAATATCAATAAAATAAAATAAATACATAAAAATTACATAAATATATAAAAACCCGACCAGATGGAAGTCCTCGGCAGGGGAAACCAAACGGCCGAGGGTTAGGGGGAAAGGGAAAGAAACCGGTGGACGATGCGGGCGTATCGACGAGCACCGCCTTCTGCATTTGAGCTTGGAGCGATCCGTCACGGAGTCCAAGTCGCCTCAGATGACCCGAGAGGCTGACTGGGATTAACCCGTTCGCAGAGACGACCACAGGAATAATTTCGGCCGGCAGACCACCCACATGTCGGTTACCTCGTGAGCCAGGTCCAGATATTTTGTCAACTTATCTGTTTCGGCTTTCACGAGGTTCTCGTCATAAGGAATGGTAATGTCGACCAAAAATATCCTTGACTGTGCCCGGTCCATCAGCGCAATATCAGACTTATTCGCAAGAATAGTCCTGTCTGTGATGATGGCCCGGTTTCAGTAGAGCCTGGCGCGGTCATTTTCGAGCACGGCTTCCGGCAAGTAATTATAATATGCCAGTTTCCGATCCACGAGACCGTATTTCAGAGCGAGCTCCTGGTGTAGAATCCTGGCTACTAGGTTGTGTCTGTGCAAATACTCAGAGTTAGAAAGCGCCGAATAACACCGGGATGGCGACAACCTCGACAGATGTCGACGGCGCCATCCTTTAGGATGTATTTCCGATAATTGTTGGTCTTAATAACCTGATCCTGTATCGCACAGACAAAACCCTCAGTTTCCCCAAAGAGGTCACCGAAACGTAGCCAGTGGAGGGAGGCGACTGTGTCTACGCAAGGCTCATGTAGAGCCTTGTAGAACCTTCAGTGGAGCTCCTTCTCTTTCCATAGGGTCTCCCGGTCGGAAATGCTCTGTACTGCCGGGTCTTGTCATTGCTCGTTGGCTAAGGATAGAGGGGTAAGTCCTTTATCACAAGAAATAACGTCCCTATAGAATAGATCATCCGCTCTCGTCAGAAAGTAATTACGGAGGCTGCACACTTCGCGATTATGCATGGTAAGCGCGCTTAAAAAGCCGCGCCCACCATGCTTCCGCGGCAAGTACAGCCTCATTACTGACGATCTCGGATGATGCATCCTATGGGACGTCATTATAGTGCGGACTTTTCTATCCAGAGCGTTCAGTTCGGTCTGAGTCCACCTGAGCATGCCAAAGGTATACATGAAAACAGGCATGATCCAACCGTTATATGCATGTGTCTTATTAACGCCCGACAAAAGACTGTTAAGCACTTTTGTCAAGCGTGCTTTATGCACACCGCAAACTGACTGTTTCATGTCCGCCTCATCGATACCTATCTTCTGTGACATACCCAGG